TAGACGATTCCCAGTTAGCTGGGCATGATAGAGGTCCATATCTGTTCTAGGGTTACTTTCCTGTGAGCTACAAGGCTTCTCCCCTTGAAGAACACCTCAACTGCCACCAAGAAGTGCACCATGGGGGTGACACCACTACAATCAGAGATCCAATTAGAACAGCTTTAATCTCCCTCTGATACATCAGCTAATACTATGAATCACACAATCTACCTAATACTGAAGATAAAGAGTCTAGTCTCTTTGCTTTTTGAGTGGTCCATATAGCAACTTCCTATCGAAGAGTAGACATACGGGCCAAGTAAGTGGGGGTCAGATATTACTACTTGAAGAGGGGTGATCAAGGGACAAACAAATTCAGCATTGGTATGAGAATTGCCAGCGTTATCATTCGTGGAAATTTAGTATCCTGATCTGACTCCATTAGTAGCCAATTGCTATCTAGAACAATACTAAGAGGTGCAACAGAATACATTCGATGTTACTTTACATCACGCAATATTAGTTATTGTGATTCATTTCCAGAGGTAGTTAACAGGGGTATAATCCGGCTCATGCTGTTTGCTCATAGTAATGTCAGCGTCTATCACCTTAGCGCTTTAACCACCGAAAAATAGACGAGGCTCAGCTGTCGCTGACAGGTACATACTCGGGGTGGGGTTGCCTTTTCCCTTGGTCTGATTCCTTACTTTACCATTCCAACCTTTTTATTTCTTCTACTACTTACCGTTTCCCTCGTAATTTAATGTCATTTCTGTCTGAACTCTTCCAAATTCGCTTCCTAAATGTGCAGTGAATTCACACACCCTCAATGAAAATGATGTCAGTATCCAGATCAATTTGCATCAGTACTGGCTTCACGATCTACTGTGCTTTTGTAAGGCAAATCATTGGCAAGGCACGCCCCGAGGGGTGGTATTTCCATTTTCGGATGGTCCAAGTGTTGCTTAGTGCCCGTGGCATCATTTCATGCATTTTTAGGGCGGAAGGCTTAGCCGGGGCCCTGGCTTAGTATACACAAGTAGAATACACATTCTGTACGATGCATTGTAACAGTAATACTCGGTCAAGACCTGTTTGGAAAAAAACGCCGACACCTAGTACTGATGATAACCCTTGTATGCAGCCTTGTACATCCCAGAAAGACCTTCTGTGTCCGTCGAGATTGTTCATAGATTCTTACATTATTTTCATCGCATGTGGGAGGGCCCAGCGTGCATAGCCTCATCATGGCCCAAGGACTCCGGACACAATGGCAAGGATTAAGGGATATAAATCAGATCAAGTTCTGTTGCAATATGATCCCTCAACCACATAATTCCTGTTTCTGTCTGAAAGCACATTCTTTGACCTCTCTCAAAGTGTTTCAAGAAAAGGCACATATACTTCACACTCTTTCTCAACGATGGACCAGCAGTTCTCTTATGAGGCCAGTCGCGACAGTTACGATGATCGGGGTCTTGCGCATGGCATCCCACTGCGGGTGCACCGAGAAGGTCATCGAGAGACCAAGGGTGCCCTTCGTGCCCAGTCAGACTGGAACCGTCTTGTAAGCCCCATCAAGGGCTATAATGGTGGGTTGGGGCACAAGTACAGTTTCATGCAGGTCACTGTACCGGGTTGCCTTCCTGAACGCCTGGAGATTATCTCTTATGCCAATGAATTTGCTTTTCTATACGACGGTGAATATCTATCTGTCTTCCTCTCATTCTCTTTTGTTTTTTTTTTTTCCCTTCATGCAGGATATGTGATGCTTAGGAAACAGAAACTGACAAGAAGTGGCTGTGTGTGTATCATAAATAGATGAAATGGAAAGGCTCATTGACCATGGCCGGGTAAGTCTTTTTGCTCTTTGTCCATTGCACATGTCAAAAACAATATGATATGAGAACTTACTCAGGCAACTTGATATCCAGGACCCCGCTCGATCGCATGCGATGGTAGACGCGTTCGGCGTCCCTACCAGCGGATCGGAAGAACAGACATTGTCATCACCATCATCCTCTACAACATCATCACGAGCGAATCGGCTGCAGGCACGAGTTTTTAAGGAGATGATCACGATCGACAAGCCGAGGGCTATCACCTCGATGAAAGCCTGGTCGACCTTTCTGCAGTTGGCCTCTCGCAGTCGCGCGTGTCCGGCGCGGACGCTCCGAGAATATTTGCCGATGAGAATCATCGATGCAGGAGAGTTGTAAGATTCACCCCCCCCCCTCTCTCCCATCCTCTATCCTAATGACATTCGTCTCCTTTCGACGGTGCTTTCTATCACATGGAATCAGTATCAACTTTCCCATTAACCTTGTATGTCTATCATTTGCACACAGGATTTGGTTTGGAACTTTGACCTTCGGCATGGCTCTGACAATTCCGGAGGACGAATTGGAAATTTGCATGGAACTAGCCCGTCCAGGCTACGCGGCTATCAGCCTCACTAATGATCTGTTCTCGTGGCCGAAAGAGCGGCAGGATGCGGTACAGGCCAAGGTCGACTATGTTTTCAATGCGGTCTGGATTATCATGGAGGAGGAAGGTCTATCTGAAACGGCCGCCATGCAGGTGTGCGAGGGCGAGATACGTCGCTATATTGCCGAATATGAACATATAACATGCAATGCGCACCGGCAGCAGAAACTTTCGCGAGATACGCTGGCATATTTGGATGCTGTACGGTACAGTCATGTAGGGAATCTTGTGTGGAGTATCTACTGCCCGAGATATCGAATGTAGCTAGTTGGTCTGTGTGTCATAATTCCTAGGTCGTTGATGATTTCTGTTTGGCCGTTGGATTTTACTGAAGTAGACTTTTTGAAAAGGAATGCTATACAATGATGGTGGATTTGCATCTGTAATCTAGATACAACTTGTTGTATTCTATCATTGAGGTAGCACCTACAATAAACTCATTTAGAAATGCCTCTCAAGGACAATAAAATGGGAGGAAAGAAGTGATGATATTTGATGCACCATGGCTCGGCATCATATGCCTTTAGGCAACCTCTCTCGTTTGATACATTGTTGTTTTGAACATACTGGTAATTATCAAATCGTTATTACCTGTAATAAACTCAGCCAGCATCATCATCACTGGTGCTTGGCAACCGGGGGTTGTCCTTGTATTGACCAAACATATAACTAACGGCGGTGGGTTTCAAGTCAACAGAATGTGAATTCCATTCCATTGCGAAATCATTTTCTATCCACAATATCATTGTCTTACCTCAAGCACTCCCGGCCATTCTTCCGAATCAACTCATCCATAATGGGAGCCCAATTTTCACAGTTCTTTCCCCCTCGCCCGACATTCACTTTATCTGACGTCCCTTCGCAGCATGGGAAAGTCATCATAGTGACGGGAGGCGCATCGGGGATCGGGCGGGAGCTGGTGTGTATGCTCTATGAGAAAGGGGCGACCGTCTACCTGGCGGGTCGCTCTGAGTCCCAAACCCAGGCCACTATTCACTCCATCCAAGCAAACCATGCCGCTACCACCCCCAACTCACCCGCGGGCGAGCTACATTATCTTCCGCTGCACCTGGAAGATCTCACTACGATCAAGTCAACGGTTGCTGCGTTTGCCGCGCGGGAGAGTCGGCTGGACCTTCTTGTGAACAATGCGGGTGTCTCGCAGCCGCCGCCCGGCAGTGTATCAGCTCAAGGTATCGAGCTTCAACTCGCCACGAACTGCCTGGGCCCGTTTCTTCTCACCCAGCTCCTGCTTCCATTTCTCAAGGCGGCGGCGACGATCAGCGGATCCAGTGAAGAAGGCACTACAGCACCTCGTGTGGTCTGGGCCAGCAGCCAAGTCGCTGAACTCTCCGCGCCTCCGGAGGGAATTGTACTGGCCGAGCTCCGCAATCCGCCACTCAACCAGCCCGTGCGGAACTATGTGACCTCCAAGCTTGGCAACTGGTTCCTGAGCGTCGAATTCGCTCGCCGGTATGGCGGGAACGATGGAGCAGTGGGAGAAGGACGTCGACGACGACTAGTCAGCGTGGCGCAGAACCCCGGCGCGGCCAACACAAACCTCTTTCGATATGCGCGTTGGACGAGGATTTTATCTAGGCCATTGCTACACAGTCCTCAACTTGCCGCTCATACTGTGCTCTACGCTGCATGCGCAGAGGAGCTGGATCGACCAGAACACAATGGCGCGTATATCATCCCATGGGGGAGAATTCATCCCGGAGTGGCCGCTGCGCTGGCATGCCATTTGGCACCGGAAGACGAGGGCGGCACGGGCCGCGCCCGGGAATTCTGGGAGTGGTGCGTGGAGCGTACACGGGATTATTTATGAACCTCTCTCTTATGTTAGAAGCAACATTGGTTCGGTGAGTAGGGTAGATACTAGTTAATTCCTCCTCGTTGTACAACTGTTGGAGCGTAAGCCTCTTGTGTAACTTAGCAGGCAAATTTGTCTAAATACTCAGTATGTGAGGAAGCGTAGTTCTCATGTTGAAAAATATATATCTCTGCGATATTAATGAAAGATAGAGGTAAGAAACAGTACTACACAAGCCTTTACTACTATGTCATCTTTCGCGGTATAGCCTTCATGTCTGGCGAGTAACACCTGCTTCTCTTATTCACAAAGACAACATCGAGCAGAAAACATAAGAGAGAGTTAAGTATATCCGTAGAATCTACAAAGCGGGTATTGAATCACATTGCTGCGGATGTGTACCATTCGAGTGAAGACGCAGAACATGGATGGTTGGACGGTGAGAATCTTAAGGTCTTTGCCGTCTGATGGGTAGCTTCCACTGGATTCTCCTCGTCATCTGTGGCCGTGTTGATTTGCCAGAAGCATGGCCCCAGCAAGAAGTACAACCTGCCTTACTACCTTAGCCTTTCATATGCCCTTCTGAGACTGCCTTGAGTCAATGACGCATTTCTTGAGGGTTTCAAGTCACGAATTGTTATGGAGGGTGGCTTTGATGCTTTTGCGAGTGAGGTATGGATCAGCGTAATGGTGAATCCTAGGTCAAACTCCGCTCCTGACCCGGGAGTGTGGACAATGGTACGTTGAGTAATAAGCATATAAAGCCCATAGATGCAGCCAATCTTCGCTTGAAGCTTTACTATCTGGGGGTGATTACCTCGAGTAGCCCTGGTAGGAACTTAGCTGCTGATTAGAATGCATCAAGGCTGCAGCTTAGGACAAGCCTGCTGGTCAGGGGCGGGCAGTGATTGAGAGCCTATATTCTGTGTCCCACAACCCCAACTGTACAGTAAAGCCGCGGAGATCGTTATTAATGCGGTGCTAGAACGAAAGCTGCTGTATCATCATGTTGCGCTAAAGTCTGATCGGCCCTATCACCTTATCTCCTACTCTTTAGCCATCGAGTTAGGCAGTTAAGATACCCAATCTGGGAATTCTCCAGAGAATTTTGAAATTAGTCAACGACCCAGCTTTATGTAGATGTTGCGCAGGCGCTTTCGGTTGACGACAAAGTCATAAGAGGCGTGTATGTAGACCACGGTTTTGCCAATGTTGTAATACACTGAACGTCACCTGCCCCTAGGCTTTCTTCTTGATGCTTAATCATTTTGCGAGTAGGCTTGAAACTGTGTCTTTGTCGCCGCTGTTCTAGAGTACCCGCGCTTGGTTTTGCTACCCTGGTACAGCTGGACACCCAAGTCGCAAGCTGCATAAGAATAATATGGAATGAGAGATTGAGTGTCATCGTGTCGTAGCATAGCTCCTCAATAGTAGTAAGCAGTCCTGTTGCGTTCGTTAAGTTGTAAATCTGCCAAGGACTTCAAGCGCATCAGTCCAGGGAAACGGAGTGCCCTATACGCACTTATAAACTGTCGGCAGACCATTTTGAGCCCCAGAAAGAATCTGATATATTGTTTGATGTGTCCTAGAGCCACCGATCGATTTATTATGCCTTATGCTCGGACAGGATACAATCAAGTCTCTTCTCGTAGAGCGAACTGTTATCGACATATTGTCTAGCTCTTCGACCAGGTTCAAGGATGTTCACGGCCCAACACTGGACAGTGTTTCCGATCGCACTGATGAGGGCATAGTTGTTTCATTCCATGCCCTAAGTGCTGTACCATATTGGGTTTCATAGGGTGACCAGGATATGGATATCCCGTCAAAGAAGTTGACTGTCCACAGTCATTGAGACCTTAAGCTAGTTTAGAATGAGATCTCAAGCGGTGCCAGTCTTGTATACCGGGAAGATCCGTTTCAAGTTCAGTTTGGGCAGCGGGCCAACAAGCAAAGGATCATCGACCAACTAGTTCTTCTCCACGTCTCAGGATATTCAGCCCTTATGTCTGACGATAGATTGGAGATATTCGACATGCCCCTTTCCAGTCGACAGATAGATACTTGTTGGCAGACATGGCAAGTATGCAGTCTGCCATATGTAGATTCAATCTATGCAGCTGGAGATGGATGTGATAGGTCAGGCTAGTCAAAATATCTTCTGCGTGGCCAAGAAGTTCTCATATGAGATGAGTGGTGATGAAAAGAATTTAGCAGTTCACACAAAGTATTTTAGAGAGTGAGAAGCGTGTTATGGTTTGTGAAGAGAGAATGAAGAAGGAAGAAAAAGTCCACCCTGGCGCCGGGGCGATGGCTTTTATAGGCAAGCCCTGAGCAGGGCCAGTGAAGCTATTCGCCGACTAAGCAAGAGTGATAGACTCAAGGTGGTTAGTGAACGGGACCTACAGAATCCCTGGTGAATTGGGACTACAAAGCGATGTGAATATTTCACGTTCAGCAACTATGCATCGATATTCCATGGTTAACAGACCTAGTCTATTCCTATAAAACAACCGAGGTGAATGAGAATGAGATAGCATCAATATAATACAGATAATTACAAAAAAACATCACGCTGGAGCCCGTCACGCCTGGTCATATCAATGCACTTATTGCCGGCTCGCCTGCGCAGCCTTCTGGCGCTGCAGCTCCATGGCCCTCAGATGAGCCTCGCGACGGGCATGGTTCCGCTCCTCGCGCTTCCATGCCTCCTCCTCAGCACGCCGTCTCTCGTAGTCCTCCGCCAGCTTGCGGTCCTTCTCGCTGAGTCGGGGGCCCGCGGAAACAGTTCCATCCGCGTTCTTGGTGGGACCACTGCCCCGGTACTCCTCAACCTTCTTCTGCATCTCATCCTTGAGCTTCGATCCAGTCTCCTTGACTTGTCCGATGGTACGGTCAATGAGACTCAACCTCTCGCGCTCCGCCTCCTCAGCAGCCTTCTGGGCGGCCTCCTTGTCAGGTACTTCGTTGATCAAGCGGAGGCCATGGTTATCGTTTTTTTGCTGTTCGTCGGGCTTCGGGACGTTGGGGTCCACTATGGTGATACCGGCCATCCTCCGGAAAGTGGACGAGCTAAGCAAGTACGTTTGCCCCAGAGCAAACACACTGGTGGTCATGAAGTAGAGCTGAAGGGCACCAGGGAAATTGGCCATGAACAGGAACGAAATCGCGGGCATGCCGTAGAGGAAAATGTTCTTGAAAGCGGAGTCTTTCATTTGGTTCATACCGGTCTCTCCTCCTTTCTACACGCAACTGCATTAGCTAGACGTTTGGAAAGAAAGGGCAAAGTTCCGCACCTTGAGAGTGTGATGTAGGATAACTGATCCAATCAAAGGAAGAATGTAGTAGGGATCGGAAACAGTAAGGTCCTGAAGCCAGCCAACGTGTTCCGTGGTCAGTCCGGGCACCGGCAGACTGCACATGTTGTTGACGACACGGTAACAACCAAAACCGAAGGGAATATGGATCATCGGGATCATTGCTTTCCAGGGCTTGATGCCGTGATCCTTGTGCAGCTGGCTCAGCTCCGCCCTCTTCCGTGTCGCCTCCATCAGGTCATTCTTATAGTTGGCCTGAACCATCTCCGTGCGAAGCGGCGTGGTGAGGTGCTTGATGTTGTTGAGCTTGGTACTGGTATCCGCAGCCATAAGTGTAGGGTACAGAAGACCCAGACGAATGAAGAGACCGGTTGCGACAATCGCACCCCACCAGGGGAGACCACCCATGATATGGAAGTGTTCAACGCTCCATTCGATCATGGACGAAAAACCCCAACCGAAATCCAAGCCCAATTGCTTCAAATATCCAATCTGCTCCGGGATCGCATTGATATCAGCCGCGGTCAGATCATTGAGGTTGACTTCTCCTTGGGGTGCGAGAGAGACCTCGCTGGCCGCTGGGACCGAGGGAGTAGTCGATGAAGGAGCCGAAGAGGTGGAATTGAAGCGAGCGGCGGCCACTCCGGTGATCGCAGTGGCAGGCCGCCAGGAGCGCGTTCCAAGCAGTGTCGGCTTGGATTGGCCATATGGGACGGCGGTTCTCAGGGTCTGCGGACGGAATGAGGACATCTGTAGGGCAAAGTCAACAATCTCGTACTCGAGCCGACAAGAGATGACTGCGGCGGAGGACAAACCGATCGGCTGGAACGTGAGAAGGCATACAACCGTTGCCGGGCCACGGCGGGTAAGACGCCGCGTCCACTGAGACCAGTCCCTCCCAACATGGCGAGAATTGGTATGAAGGTGGATGAGATGAATTGGGGAATCGAATCGGAGTTTGGGGAAAATCGCGGAGGCTTTTCGGGACGCTTTTTCGGTGCCAAGCCTGCCTTTTCTGCCGGGCGGAACTCCTCAATTCATTCCTACAGTCTCGAGCGGTCTAGTCTTCGCTATGGAATTAGGCCGATTTAACATCCATGTGGCTATTCTCAAGGAACGCAATTCTCGTCAATGTGTGAGAGGTTAAATTCGAGGTGGTTCGCCAGACGCCGTCCAGTCAGACCGATTACTGATGCTTGCTCTATGTACACTGTAACCCCCTGATGCGCATTCATGCCACCCTGCAAGCGACAAGAAATGAACTGTTTTGATGCCACTTTACCCGTACATGCCAATATCAATCGGGCGTGATGAGATATCTATATGGTCCGCTAGTACTCCACCCGGGTCTACTCTAGAGACGTAGCATCCTTCAGTCCGGCCGCCCTAGTCCCCCTCCGTTGCGACGGGATGTCTCGCACCTCGATTCCGGGCCCGACAGGTCTCGAACGCCGATGCATAGGGAAGACCTAATATGAACATTTGGTTAGTGTTATTGAACCATAACGAAAGCCGGCTTTGAACGAAGGACCGGGGGCGAGTCCTGCGCCCCTGTCTATCAAACAGAGATTGTAATCGTACCTTTGTCCCGGACCAGCCGAGTCGATAGGCGGCTTCATGTGCAAACAACTCGCCAAATCCCAGCATCAACCCATTCACGAATGGGAGAACGAGGTTAATGGCAGCTCCCCGCAGGATACTCCAGATGGTTGGGGGCTTGTAGAGGATCAAGGGGGAGCTCGAGGAGGATGACTGAGAGCCGGAGATGTCATGATTGGCCGAATAATTCTCAGAATCTGAGTGGACAGTCAGTCCAGATTCATACAGCTCCCTCGAGCTGGAGAGGTCGGCGGCCATGATGCGGGGAGAAGGCGATCAGCAGGGAAAGGAAACTGTCAAGGACGGGGCTGGAAATTAGAAAAGCCCGTCTGTGACTGCGAAAAACAATCAGCAAGTTGATAGACGCGGGGATACGAAGGGCACCAACTGAATGGAGGGGAATTCGGCGCTGGATGAGGTCGGTCCCTTGGGGTTGGCTGGATTGACGATCTACACCTGACCTGCAGAAGCTGTTATGTAAGCAGCCTGCCCTCGCGTTCGCTATAGCAACAACCAGAAGAGACAGCCTGCAGGGTCGTGTGATGGAATCGAGTAAGGTCAGACGAGCAGTCGAGTATGAGAAGCAAGTGAGAGTGCAGTCAAGGAATGAAAGGAGTGAAGTCACTACTTTTCATCACGGAATATCCTCTCATTGATGGTTCGCCGGGGGATTCCTCAGGCACCAGCGGAAGATCCCCTCTTCCGGATGACCAATCAGGCAACAGTGACGTACCGTTATTGGGTCCCTTCAGCTTCGTGAAGAGCTACAATAATAATACGAACCACTGCATCTTCCAAGTCCCCGACATTCTCCGCCTTTCTTCGATAGTCTTTGTGCTTTTCCATCTTCGAATCAGTGCTGGACTGCGAAGCTTCACAAAATCTAACACCAACCATCACAACGTGTGCAGTGCCGTCACGGTCGATTTACTTCCAACATGGAGCACAACGCGGACCGCGATGAGATTGTCTCTCAATTCTGCGCGATGACTAGGACGGATCCTCACGAGGTACATGCTAATGATCCCATCTCTAGCTATGGTTGCTAACTACTTTCTTCATCTTAGGCGCAAGGCTATCTGGCAGCCAATGAGTGGGACCTCGAAGCCGCAGTCACCGAATTCTTTGCCGAACAAGATGAAGCCTCACAGGATACTGGCGCAGCTGGTGGTGGTCGCCGACTCGGCGCTGAATCGGAACCCTCTGCCGGCCGTTCGCTTGGTGGCAGCTCCTCTCATTCCCCCTCCACTACCCCGCAGCCCTCGTCCCGCAGGTCGGCCCCGAAAAAGAAGTTTGCGACCCTGAACGATTTTGCGTCGGGTGGAGGGGAATCTTCCGAGGAAGACGATGCAGTGAACCAAGACTTCTTTGCTGGCGGTGAAAAGTCGGGCTTGGCTGTGCAGAACCCCGATGATATTAAGAAGAAGATCATTGAAAAGGCCAAAAGGTGAGGACCTTTGGAAAGCTTGATTGTTCAAAGCTGATACTTTTATAGGGCTCAGCCTCCGCCATCGGACGAACCCACCAGAAGGTCTTTCTTCACCGGCACCGCACGTACCCTTGGTGGTGATGAGGCTCCCAGCAGAGTGATCGAATCCCCCAGTGCACCTGTTTCGCAGACACCGCAGCGCGTACATAGAACCCTACACTTCTGGTCTGATGGCTTCTCGGTTGATGATGGAGAGCTGTTCAACTCCGACGACCCCGCCAACCGCGAAATCCTCGAGGGTATCCGCCAGGGCCGTGCCCCGCTCTCTATCATGAATGTGCAGGCTGGTCAGGAGGTGGACGTGGAAATTAAACAGCATGACGAGAAATACGTGAAGCCCAAGCCTAAGTACAAGCCCTTCTCCGGGGCTGGACAGCGTCTCGGCAGCCCCACGCCTGGTGTGAGGGCACCTGCGCCAGCAGCTGCCCCTACTCCCAGTCAGTCCACCGAGCCAGCCAAGCCGGACATAGATGAGTCGCAGCCGACGGTGACTCTTCAGATCCGCCTTGGAGACGGCTCACGGCTCACTTCCCGGTTCAACACCAGCCATACCATTGGTGACGTGTACCAGTTTGTAACCGCTGCCAGCCCTAGCAGCCAGTCGCGTCCCTGGGTATTGATGACTACGTTCCCCAGCAAGGATCTCTCCGACAAGAGTGTTGTGCTGGGTGATATGGCGGAGTTTAAGCGGGGCGGCGTGGTGGTACAGAAGTGGCAATAAGTGTGGAGGTATATCCCTGTTGGGTATAGAGATGTGCATAAGCTCGGTGCAATTTCTCACAACGTCAGGATTTAGTGATAGGCATTTTAGGCATAGATACGAGTTGATGAGAAGCAACTCCCGAGTTATGTCATGGAATGATACAATGATGATCAGTAATGAGCAGTCTAGGGTTGACATTAGTACAAAAAGTCCAATGCTGCAGACTCGTACAGCATGTAGAGAGTAGCACATCATCGTTATACGCAGTATATTCTGCAGCATGCATGCATCTTGTAGATTTAGATAGCAGTGACTGAGTGAGGGAGTGATATCTCCGGACCGGCTGGATTGATAAGCAAAACTCCGCGGAATGACGCAGAAAAAAAGCCCACCCGAAATCGGCTCGCCATCGCCATCCCCAGACCTTCACCTACTCCTCCAACTCAACCAGATACCCGGGTCCAAATTAGAGGAAGATACTCAAGATGCCTCTCGACGGAGTCAAGAATGTTGTGCTGGTAAGTATCACTCTCCATATACCTGAACTTCAGCTCCCTCCAGCTTCAAATCCCATTGCGACAACCCCTCCTCCTCTTATCGATAACAGCGCGCAACTGCACACAGCATGGATATAGGGCCATGTCTACGCATACAATGCGCGCACACCCTACCTACCTCTCTCTCTCTCTCTATCTATATATTTCTACTCCAATGCTATTCCTCAAAACAAACTAACAATCTAATCCCCAGGTCCTCTCCGGCAAAGGCGGGGTCGGCAAATCCAGCGTAACGCTACAACTCGCCCTCGCGCTCACCCTCCAAGGCAAATCCGTCGGTATCCTAGACATCGATCTCACCGGCCCCTCAATCCCTCGTCTAGTCGGTCTCGAAGACGCAAAAATCACCCAAGCGCCGGGTGGTTGGCTTCCTGTCCCCGTTCACCCATCCACTATCACCTCCTCCTCACAACCAGACTCCTCCACGACCACCACAACGACAACAGAAGAAAGCACCATCAAGCACGGCTCCCTCCGGTGCATGTCCCTCGGCTTCCTGCTCCGATCCCGCTCAGACGCCGTAATCTGGCGGGGGCCCAAAAAGACCGCCATGATCCGACAATTCCTCTCGGACGTGCTATGGAATGAAACCGATTACTTGCTTATTGATACGCCTCCCGGAACGAGTGATGAGCATATTGCTCTTGCGGAGCAGCTTTTGACGCTTTGTACGATTGATGCTTCTTCTTCTTCCTCATCATTGCCTCGGCTTGCTGGCGCGGTGCTGGTTACTACGCCGCAGGCGGTGGCGACGTCTGATGTACGGAAAGAGGTGAATTTCTGTGTGAAGACGAGGATTCCGATGCTGGGTGTGGTGGAGAATATGTCCGGGTATACGTGTCCGTGTTGTGGGGAGGTGACGAATTTGTTTTCGAGTGGTGGGGGGCAGGTTTTGGCGGAGGAGATGGGGGTGAGGTTTTTGGGGAAGGTGCCGGTTGATGTTGGGTTTGGGGAGTTGGTTGAGGGGAAGGTTGGTGGGGAGGAGGGGGATAGTGAGGATGAGGATGAGGGTGAGGGTGGGGATGGAAGTGCTGGGAGGGTAGATGGTGAGAAGAAGGAGGAGGAAGAGAAGGAAGAGAGGCCGCTGGTGGAGAGGTATCGGGAGTGTTGGTCGTATGCGCGGTTCGAGGAGTTTTCGAAGACGTTGATTGCGGAGATTGAGGGGTAATGGCGATGGAGTTAGTAGTATATATAGGGGGTTACTGTTAGAGCATGTGTCATGGGTGGCGTCTTTTGGCATGGATGTAGAGTGATACGAGATCATGATTTACTACTATGAAAGAAAAGTACTGTTGCTCAACAAATGTGGGTGGCATAGTCATCAGTCATTATATCAGTCGTGGGTAGCATCGCTGCCTAGTAGTTCTGCCGTGTATAAATAACATCGTATATCATATCATGATCATCATCGCCACCGTTCCTCGTCATTTCATACATTCCCGCGAGCAACATCATTACCATCACGCATTTGAAATAGTTTGATCTCGTTCCAACATCGCTCGTAGTCGCATCTCAGCTGTTGCCTGTCTTGCCTCGGAACCAGCAGCTACGGCACCATACTGTAGCCAGCTTAGAAGCGCCTGCACATCGGCTACCAGGGACGGCGGAATCCAACCCCGATATCCAGCGCTGGAATCCATAGCGCTAGGACCGAGAAGCTCCTGGCCTCGTGGAACCTCCGAGGAAGAGGTTGCGTTGGCTTCAGCCTGGGCATCAAGCAAGACCTCGGATACAAGAGCCGGAGTAAGAATATTCGAGCCCGACTGTGTCTGCGTGCCTAACAGTGTACGGCCGCCTGAATTGGGCTTGGAGGCAAATTGCCTCGTGGGAAGTGCTCCCAGCGCGGGCTCTTCGGCCGGCGCATGCAATGCCAGGGGGGATCTTGGGGTACTGGGCGGGGCCTGGCTGGACGAGCCGGCCCCTGAGAACGGAGTTCTGAAAGGAAACCCCGTAGATGGTCGTCTGCCGTCCCAGTGTCGATACTGCGATAAGGACGAATGATCACGTCCATCGGCGACACTATTCTCGTCGTCGTAGATTACCACGTTGTCGCTTTGTCTTTCATGGTCGGAGCTAGCTTCTTCGACTGTCACCAGGCCACCCGGGGGAGCCCGGATCTCGCCTAGTGGAGCGATATGACTTCCATACTCGTTCGCCAGACTGAGTCTGCTGCGCCCGCAGATCTCTCCGATCGAGTCTAACGTCTGGCGAATATTCGGCTCGATAGCTCGCAGTATGCCGTCTATGCTAAAGTCGTCCTCCGATGGGAGAGCAGGCCCGCGTCGCTGGCTTCTTGAGCCACCGATGAATGGGAATGAGCGCCGCGAAGGCATCGTGGTCGAAGTGCTGGAGGTGTCATGAGGGCCGCCCGAATATGCCCTAACCAGCACAGGCTGCGATGCCGACGTTGAGGGTCGCGAAGTAGCTGACCGATTATGGTTTCTCCAGGATGAGGCCCCGGGATTCCCATTCAGCTGACGTAGCGTAGTGGTACGATGCGCTCGAGAGGACTCATCTAGCGCAGGTTCATAGCGATAGGGAGCAGTTTGTTGTAGAGGACGGACGGTCTCGACCACAGGAGAGGCATGCAGAGGGTTCAGCTGCGACCATCTCCGGCGTGGCAAAGCGGACGAGGACGATGGAAAAGCGTCCGTGTGGGCGAGCAGTCTGCCGGACCTATAATCCATCTCCGTTCAGGGCAATGCGATGCAGGCTGTGACGCAGCAGCGGAGCGTAGACGGGGATATGACCACCCGCAACGAAACAACACCACCACCACCGGAGTAAAAACCCCGCCTTCCGGCCAATACGCAACAGCAGCGGCAGATCGGCTGGCAGCAGGGAAGGCGATCAAGCGCCTGTCAGACAACAAGTTCTCAGTAGCGGCTGGCGGCGGCGGTGGACGGGCAGACAACGCAGGACACGTATCACGCTCCAACGCGTCGCTCCACGGAACACAGATGCATGGACTCAGCAGGCCAACGAGCTGGCATGATCGGGGAGGCAGATGACTGTGGATCGGTCCGGGATTCAAGAGGCGATGATGCAGCGAAGAAATCCAGAAACTATTCAGAAAAGTGGCTGGTTTCATGTTGAAGCGGGCGGAAACTGGGGACTCGATACCCGAAAGGGGAAACACTAAGCTCCAACAATCATCATCATCGTCGTTGTTGTCGTCTTTCATCCATCTCCAACCCGTTGGCAGTGTCCTTCGCGCAGTGGTGACCACCTCGACGCTTGTCTCTTAGGGTTCGTCGGAAGCTGCATATGGTGCGGTTGATACTTCAAAAGTCACCCCTTCAAGATGAATAGGTTTCGCGTATGCTATTCCCTGTCCGGCTGAACCCTTCTTCTTCCTTCTTCACCCACCCATTCGTTCACCCGCCATACTTCAGTGAAACTGATTGTTATGCGCTTAGTTTGGCGACTCCGATGAGTCTGCGTCCGAATTCGACGATGATACCTCCGGACTGCCCTTCCCCGAGCCTTTGTCCCGTGCTTCCTTCCTCTCCCCCGACTTCGACCCCGCGGCGTATCTATCCTCCCTCACCAATCGACACCAGAGCCTTGAGGACTTGCGACAGGAATTACGGGATCTGGATCAATTACTCAGTCGAGAACTCCTAGACTTGGTCAATGAAAACTACCAGGACTTTCTATCCCTAGGGAGCGCACTAAACGGTGGGGAGGAGAAAGTCGAGCAGGTACGGGTCGGCTTGTTGGCATTCCAGCGTGATGTTCAGTCCATACGGGATAATGTGGAAGCCAGACAAGAGGAGATGGTAGAGCTACTGAAAGAGAAGAAGCGCCTGAAGACGCAAGCCAATGTTGGGCAGGCCTTGCTGGACTATGCGGATCGAGTCGAGGAGCTGGAAAGGAGGTTAATGATCGGAGACACTCCCCGGCCTCCTCAGGACGGTACCCCGGGCGAGTCCGACTCGGATTCCGATCTGGTCGAGAGTGACAGCGACGATAGTGACGAGGAAGAACTGCCTAACGGCGCAACTGCTGCGTCGCTCGTTTCCCTCAAGACGCTCGAGCGTCATATTCAGAAGTATGTCTACTTGACCAAGCTGTCCTCTCGGATAGGTGACAACCATCCATTCCTACAGAGCCAACAACCAAGGATGTCTAAAATACGATCTGCGGTGCTCTTGGATCTGAAGACGGCCCTGGAGCAGGCGAAGCAGGCGGGCGACAAGCGGGATACGAAAACGCTGGCCGTATTGCGCCTCTACAAGCTCATGGGAGAGGACACTACTGCCGTATCGGCACTCAAGAATCTGAAGTCCTAGAGGACCTCTAGAGCTAGGCAGTGCCATTTTGCATAGCGCCGGCGTTGGGATGTTTACTTTTGCTGGTTCCGAGTGAGATTTGAAAAAATACCATTATACACCGTAACCTTCCTAATGAAACATATTCTGTACACCCATGAACTTGAAGACGCTAGACTATTTTACACGCCCTGCAAAGCGGCAGATTCGGGAGAGGTCTCCGACCTGAATTCTCCGTTCAGACTGAAACCGGGACCGTGGGTCGAGCTCAGGACCTAAGGAACGTTAGACAACGACACCGGTTGCAAGCGCAACGCAAGTCGGCGACTTACCACTTCGTACACCTCCTTGGTTATGCGGTCGTTAAGACCCGCCGCATCCTTCTTGATCTGGTCGATCGTTGCGCGCAGGTTGTCACGCAATTGCTCGGGGGAGAAACCGAGCTGTCCAACGGGGACACGAATGACGGCGTCACGCTCACGGTAAATGGTACCACCACGCAGCATCTCCACACGCACGGCGATATCTTCGACCACAGTACCCGTCTTGACACTGGGCATCAGGCCCCTGGGACCGAGGATCCGACCCAAGCCAGCCTTGTTCAGTGCATCCAAACTATCCGGGTGGCAGAGGCAGCGGTCGAACTCGATCTTGCCGGCCTTCACGGCATCAAAGACCTCCTGCTCACCCACCAGGACTGCTCCAGCCGCACGAGCTTCCTTCTCATGGCGGGTTCCGGGAGGGCACACGACGCAAATTCGGGACTCGGTCTGGACGGAATGGGGGAATCGGAGCATGTTGCGAATGACAGGACCGTCCCTCCTCGTCTTCAGGCGGACGTGGACCTCGTATTTGGAATTGGTTGGCTCGCGGCCAACTTCGAATGCACGGAGATATCTGCGGTGAAGATCGACGCAATCAGTGAAAAGGTCGATTGAACCACGACAATAATACTACAAACCTCATGGCATCACACAGCGCAAATTGTTGCATATCCTTGAGATCCTTCTGCTTGAACTCTCTCGGACCCTTCTTTCTCTTGGTGGTCTTGTCTCCTCCCTTCACCTTGCGCGCCTGGGCAGCGGTGCGCACCTGCTGCAAGCTGGGCAAAATAGGCGCAATTGAGCTCGGGCGAAGAGCAGGACGACATGACGACAAGATTCCCCGTGCCACAGAGGGCATGAGGGAGCTGTAGGAGGAAGCCATGACGATGAACTCCGAATGAGCTTGACAGCGCCGGGAATGTTTTCTGGTCCGAAATCTAGAGGCTCCGGCCGACCATCGCCCGCGGAGAAACTTACCGCCGGCGGAGCCCATTGAGTCAAAACTGCCCCTCCCGGCAGTAAATTATCTCCATCCCACCTTTCTATACCACCTTTTCCTGGGGCAATTGATCCATTTTCCTGGGGTTTTGGGTCTTTGGAACGATGTCGCAGTTCAAGCTTAACCTGGCCACTAAGGCCAACCAGGCCTCTTTGCTTCCAGTCCTCCTGGTTGCTACCTCCATCAACGAGGCTCGCCCTACTCCCGTCATCGCCATCAACTTCGAGGATGCGGCTGTTCTCGCCGAGGGAGAGAAGGCTATCGTTCAGTTCACGGGTGCCAGCGGTGCTCCCGTCTATGGAACTGACAATGCCATCAAGGAGCTGCGTGCCAGCTTCCCCTTCCTTAACGGAAAGGATGAGAAGTCTGTAGGTGATCCCGCTTCGCCTTCATTACAACTATATGCTGATGGAGGCTTTCCCAGGAGAACGAATGGCTTTCCCAGCTTGAGTCCTTCACCACCCTTGACTTCAAGGCTCTCGACCCTCTGCTTCAGCGCCTGAACACCCACCTTCTCCTCCGTTCCTTCATTGTCGGTTACTCGCTCTCCACCCCCGATATTGCTCTGTGGGGTGCCCTTCGTGGCAACCGCGTTGCCATCTCCGCTATCCGCAAGGGAGCCCTTGTCAACCTGACTCGTTGGTTCAACTTCCTGGATGAGCTCTGCCCTTGGGCTAGCGCTGCTTTGGAGAGCCTCAATGCTTCCGCCAAGGAGAAGAAGGCGGCCAAGGCCAAAGAGGGTGCCAGCTACGACATTGCTCTGCAGAACACTGACAAGGGTGTTGTCACTCGTTTCCCTCCTGAGCCCTCTGGATACCTGCACATTGGACACGCCAAGGCTGCTCTGCTCAACGACTACTTTGCGCATGAGAAGTACAACGGCACCCTGTTGGTGCGCTTCGACGACACCAACCCCTCGAACGAGAAGCAGGAGTTCCAGGATGCTATCATGGAGGATTTGGCCCTGATGGGCATCAAGCCCGACAGGATGAGCTACTCCAGTGACTACTTCGACCAGATCTACGAGTACGGTCTGAAGATCATCCGCGAGGGCAACGCCTACGCTGATGACACCGACAAGGAGACCATGGCCTCCCAGAGAATGAACGGCGAGCCCAGCAAGCGCCGTGATGCTTCCGTCGAGGAGAACCTGGCTCGTTTCGAGGAGATGAAGCAGGGTACTCCTGAGGGTCTCAGATGGTGCATCCGCGCCAAGATGTCTGTGGACAACCCCAACAAGGCCATGCGTGACCCCGTCATCTACCGCTGCAACCCCTCTCCTCACCACCGCACCGGCACCAAGTGGAAGATCTACCCCACCTACGACCTGTGCTGCCCCATCTTGGACTCGATTGAGGGCGTTACCCACGCTCTCAGAACCATTGAGTACCGTGACCGGAACCCTCAGTACCAGTGGTTCTTGGACACTCTCGGACTCCGCCACGTGCAGATCTGGGACTTTGCGCGCATGAACTTCATCCGTACTCTGCTCTCGAAGCGTAAGCTCACTAAGCTCGTCGACCAGGGCGTTGTCTGGGGCTGGGATGACCCTCGCTTCCCGACCATCAGAGGTATTCGCAGAAGGGGTATGACTGTGCCGGCTCTCCGCGAGTTCATCCTCAAGCAGGGACCCAGCAAGAACATTACCAACCTGGACTGGACCCTCATCTGGGCGACCAACAAGAAGTACATTGACCCCGTTGCGCCGCGCCACACTGCCCTCATGAAGAAGGACCTTGTTAAGGCCGTCATCAAGGGCGCCCCTGCTGCTTACACCGAGGACAAGCCTAAGCACAACAAGAACCCCGAGGTTGGCCAGAAGAAGGTCACCTTCAGCGGTTCGGTTCTCTTCGACCAGGAGGATGCCAAGACCTTCAAGCAGGACGAGGAGATCACCCTCATGGCCTGGGGTAATGCCATTGTCCGCAAGATCGAGAAGGACGCCGCGGGTGTTGTGCAGTCCCTGGAGCTTGACCTGCACCTGGAGGGCGACTTCAAGAAGACCGAGAAGAAGGTCACTTGGCTGTCTGCTGACCAGGAACTGGTCCCCGTGGAGCTGGTCGACTTCGACTACCTCCTCAACAAGGACTCCCTCCAGGAGGACGATGCTCTGGAGGATGTGCTGAACAAGAACACCGAGTTCCGTGAGGACGCCGTGGCTGACTGCAACGTTGCCGAACTGCGCGAGGGCGACATCATCCAGTTCGAGCGCAAGGGCTACTTCCGCTGCGACCGCCCCTACGCTCCTGGCAAGCCGGCTGTGCTGTTCAACATCCCCACCGGTAAGACTGGCAAATAGATGTGCACTGAGTAGATATGAGTCTACATGTTATGAAGATACGCAGACTATGTGATGTAGACGAAATGCAAGATTTCAATGTCGATTGATATGCGGACACTATTTATTGATGCCTGGTTTCCACATCGGAGACCTTTCAGGAAAAGACTTCCGTCACATATTAGATGTAAATCTCCAAAGAATGTGTGATTAGATAATAAGCGTAGCATCCACTCGGGATATCCACACCTACTGATCTCGATATGGGACACATAGTAAGCACAGTATGCCAGGTGACTACACGCGATTATAGATGGAATATTCGGCATCTACGCTGTGTGTCAAGTAAACTTTCTATGCCCTACGCCATACTAGTTATACGACCGCTAACCCTACGGCAATGTGCAGCCACATACGTAGAGGCCCCTTACCTAGGTAGGGCTGGGTTCAAATTCAGATCCGGTCAAAAGTGCGAGGGGTGTCGTAGCTCGTGACATCTGGAGGAAAGTAAAGACGAAAGTTCTTTTTATAAGGACCGTCGGACTCGGGGAGAAAATCCCTCAATCGCCGTAGACTTGGAGGTGTGTGGAAGGAAGCAGCCAAGGGATACGGAGCAACATCCCTTGAACCTTGTGAAGGTGGTGACGGCATTGAAGGAGGACGGAGGGCTGAGGAAGATGACACCTGCTCAGGACTGCTTTGTTCAGATCCCGTCATTCGTCTGGTACGTCCATCGTTCGTCCGCCAATTTAACTTGGCTTTTCTTCGGCATATTTTTTCTTCTTTTTTTCTCGAGCCTTCCTGTGTGATCCGAGTGCTCCGTGGCAGGGTCTGGAGTGGAGAAGGAACAGGAGTTGAAGAGTTGAGCTGGGGGATTGGAAGGCATAGTAGTGAGTAATGGAGAGTAATAGAAGCAGTAATATTACGTCGAGATGGGTCCGTCACGTTGCACTGCGCTAGTCCTAATGCAGTCAGGGTCTGGGCGCTAGTCCCACTTGGTGCGGATCGATCGACTGTCTCCTCTTTTTTGACTAGTAAACTAGTTCTATCCTTCTATCTACATCCTCTCTATCTACGTAGATACTCTCTCACTTCCCCCGCAAATTCACCTTGCATCAATTGTTCACTTCATTCTCTTGTCTATTTGATGCTTCAATGTCTGATCATTCAAAAAAGCTTGAGCTTACAACGAACAACTCTCCTCTGCCCCCCTTCCACCCGTTGGCAGCTGTCATCCCTGTTGTGTTGCTGTCCCTTCCCAAGCCTTTCCCTGGTTCTCTACTGCCGTGCCGTTACCCAGTCCATGCCCAGGACCCTGGTACACATCATCGCGTCACGAGTCAATTCCTCTGCTGACCCTCTCAGAATCCAACGCTCGCCAAGGCACAATGGATTATTGGTGTGCTCCCAGACTCGGCCCGTCCATGCCCTACGGTTCGTTCGGAAATCTCACCATGTCTCATACGTCAAGACACTCGTCGAATCAACGAGTCATTCCCCCTTGGCCTACGGTCTATCATCCTGTCGCGTTCGTGACTGGCTCCGGTAGTCGGTTCACTTTAAGCTCAATTGCTCAGGGTTACTGACACAAACGTCCGACCGGTCGACCTGGTGAGTGATCACCCTCCGTAGACTGCCGGAACTTCCTGGACTCTCCTACGTCAGCATGATTGTCTCCGTCAACACTATTCGTCAGAGCTCCAATCTGCTGTGAAAGTGTCCATGCATCCTTGCTGCTTGGGACCAAGAAAGAAAAAGAAGCTTTCCTCGTTTTCCTTTGTCTCTTCTTCCCCAAACCTGGCGGGGAGGCCGACTTTTCTTTTTCTACCTCGTAGAGTTGCTGTCGCCTGTTGCTCCGGATTGCTTCCTTTCTCTCTTTCCTGCGTGAGGTTGATTTCGCTCACTCTTTCGCTGTAAACTAAGGGCAGGCCCGCAGAGCGCTTCGGGCACGCCAACGGTTTCCTCTGCTGCCCTAGACAAGCTATTGGATCGATCATGGCTGAGCAGGCCGGCGCCTCTGGCGACGTTGAACGTGTCGCGCAGACAACGCAAACGCAAATCCGCACCTCGACCTCGGAGCGACGCGACTCGAGACGTGTCTCTCGGGTTTCCTACAAGGAAGACTACGCTAACCTCGACGAATATGGAAAATTGGTTAAGTATGCCTCGACTTACCGCGAGGGTCGTCCGGGTGACGAGGTGCAGGGCGAAGAGGAGGAGAAGAGGGTGTGGTATGCACCCTGGAAGAAGCGCAAGGTCTTCGTCAAGCATGTCGACCAGCAACCCGGTCAATTCCCTGAGGAATGGCTCATCACGGACATCCGTCAAGGTCTGCCTAGCAGCGAGGTCCCTGTCAGACGTCGACGTGCCGGGTGGAACGAGCTGGTATCGGAGAAGGAGAACCCAATCGCTAAGATCCTGTCGTATTTCCGAGGCCCCATTCTCTATGGTACGCCATCAAGTCCCTAGGTACAGCCATTGATCGAGATCCTTTCATTCTAACAAGACTACAGTAATGGAATTGGCTGTTCTCCTGGCCGCAGGTTTGGACGACTGGATTGACTTTGGTGTCATCATCGGTATCTTGTGTCTGAACGCCGCCGTGGGTTGGTACCAAGAAAAGCAGGCTGCGGACGTCGTTGCAAGTCTTAAGGGTGACATTGCCATGAGAGCCACCGTGATCCGCGATGGTCAGCAACAGGAAATCTTAGCGCGGGAGCTCGTTCCGGGCGACGTGGTATGTATCGGAGACCCTGTTGAGCCCATCTGTGAGGTTCGTGAATAAGAGCCTGAAAGCTAACAATATAATTGCAGATTATTATCGGAGAAGGCTCAGTTGTCCCAGCCGATTCCAAGATTATCTGTGATGTCAATGACCCCAATGGTTGGGAAGAGTTCAAAAGGATGCAGGAGCAAGGCGACCTTAGCAGTACCTCCGAATCTGACCTCGAAGACAATGAGCCTGAAGGAGGTCAGGAGGAGGGTGAAAAGGAAGAGGAGTCCAAGCCCAAAAGACGCCGTGGCTACCCCATCCTCGCGTGTGACCACTCCGCTATTACCGGTGAATCGCTTGCAGTTGATCGCTATATGGGTGGATTGATCTACTATACGACCGGCTGCAAGCGTGGTAAGGCCTACGCGGTTGTCCAGACAGGCGCGAAGAACTCGTTCGTGGGTAAAACTGCGAGCATGGTGCAATCAGCCAAGGGTGCTGGTCACTTCGAAATCGTCATGGACAACATTGGTACATCTCTTTTGGTTCTCGTTATGGCTTGGATCTTGGCTGCTTGGATTGGTGGTTTCTACCGCCATATTCCCATTGCTTCGCCGGGTCAGCAGACGCTCCTCCACTACACCCTTGCTTTGTTGATCATTGGTGTTCCTGTCGGTTTGCCGGTTGTGACCACCACTACCATGGCTGTCGGAGCAGCATATCTAGCCAAGAAGAAGGCAATTGTGCAAAAGCTGACTGCGATCGAATCACTGGCGGTATGTTGGAAACGTACATCAGGGGGAAATTGGACCGCTGCTAACCTCTCGGACAGGGTGTTGATATCTTGTGTTCGGATAAAACAGGAACGTTGACGGCGAACAAGCTGAGTATCCGCGAGCCGTATGTAGCTGAAGGTGTGGATGTGGATTGGATGTTCGCTGTGGCTGTCCTAGCTTCTTCCCACAACATTGAATCGCTGGATCCTATCGATAAAGTCACGATCCTGACTCTCCGGCAATACCCAAGAGCGAGGGAGATACTACGCAGAGGTTGGAAGACCGAAAAGTTTGTTCCCTTTGATCCGGTGTCCAAGCGGATTGTGACGGTTGCGAGCTGCGATGGAACAAGATACACCTGCACTAAAGGCGCTCCCAAGGCTGTGCTTCAGCTGACGAACTGCTCCAAGAGCACCTCCGATCACTATAAGGCAAAGGCCCAGGAATTTGCGCACAGAGGGTTCCGCTCCTTGGGTGTCGCAGTGCAAAAGGAAGGAGAAGACTGGACTTTGCTCGGAATGCTTCCTATGTTTGACCCGCCTCGTGAGGATACAGCTCAGACGATCAACGAAGCTCAGAACCTAGGTATCAGTGTGAAGATGCTCACGGGTGATGCCATTGCGATCGCTAAAGAAACATGCAAGATGCTTGCCCTCGGTACTAAGGTGTATAACTCTGATAAGCTTATTCATGGTGGCCTAAGTGGAGCCATGGCAGGTGATCTAGTTGAAAAGGCAGATGGATTTGCTGAAGTGTTCCCTGAACATAAATACCAAGTGGTCCAAATGCTCCAAGACCGCGGCCATCTGACCGCGATGACAGGTGATGGTGTGAATGATGCACCATCATTGAAGAAAGCGGATTGCGGTATTGCTGTTGAAGGAGCAACGGAGGCGGCACAGTCATCTTCTGATATTGTGTTCTTGGAGCCTGGATTGTCTACCATCATTGACTCGATCAAGGTTGCTCGGCAGATCTTCCACCGCATGAAGGCATATATCCAGTACCGTATTGCTCTTTGCTTGCATTTGGAGATCTATCTGGTGACGTCGATGATTATTCTCAACGAGAGTATCCGTGTCGAGTTGATTGTCTTCCTTGCTCTTTTCGCCGATCTGGCAACGGTCGCGGTGGCGTACGATAATGCGTCATTTGAGTTGCGTCCTGTTGAATGGCAGCTCCCTAAGATCTGGTTCATTTCAGTGTTGTTGGGTCTGCTGCTCGCACTGGGCACATGGGTTGTTCGCGGTACTATGTTCCTCCCATCGGGTGGTATCATCCAAAACTGGGGTTCGATTCAGGAGGTCCTGTTCCTCGAAGTCGCACTGACCGAAAACTGGCTGATCTTCGTCACTCGAGGTGCTGATACTTGGCCATCAATCCACCTTGTCACAGCCATTCTTGGTGTGGATGTTCTGGCAACGATCTTCTGTCTCTTCGGTTGGTTCACCAACGAAGACATGCCCACGAACCCCAGCGACTCCTTCGTCGAGACCACCAACGGCTGGACAGATATCGTCACGGTCGTCCGAATCTGGGGCTACTCGCTGGGTGTGGAGATTGTCATTGCGTTGGTCTACTTCATGCTGAACAAGTTCAAATGGCTCGATGAACTTGGTCGTCACAAGCGCGACAAGGGCGACCTCAAGATCGAGAACCTGTTGGGTCACCTTGCTCGTTTGACAGTCGAATACGAGGAGCCTGGGAAGCCCAAGGGTCGCTTCTTCCTGGCCACCAGCAAGGAGGAAGAAGAAGTGGAGTAAGAGCTGGGACTTGCGCCTCGAGCTCAAGGGTATATTCTGGAATGATATGCTGGAGTAGTGGCCCGATACTGTTTATTAGGAGGGAAAATATGATGTGAGGACTCTCTAATGTGTGTTCTCAAATGGGGAAGAGAAGGATATTGGTATGATGGATGTTGAATGATAATAATAGTTATTTACGTTTTTGTGATATCTTTATAAGTTTGTTAATTAGGTGGGTAGTAGTTAGTAACTAGTTAATATATACCTGGTGTGTTTGTCTGGACATTGTAGCTAGTTAGTAGTTAGTACTTGATAGTTAAATTCCACCTGCATGGGGGAGGAAGAATGCAGTGTCCAGATTGGTCACTTCATCGCACCTATAGTAACTTCGATACTACTTAAGTACCCTAATTACATATCTATTCTACCCTAAAACTATAGCATACATAACGAGTCACTGTGTATACAGATAGTAACTAGTTCATAGTACTAATTTGAAAAGTTTATCTACTTAGTACTACAGTAGTACTACTTGCAAAGATAGATATATATATATATATATATATAGCGGTATCGATGGTTACTTCAATCACCCCCAACCAACCAACTACTACTTCGTGATACCTACTAAATCCACATGTGCTATAATGAACCAAGAAAACGAAACAAAATATATGAATCAACTTAATGGAAGGTTCATATCTGATCTTTTTCGTTGTCTTTCAGACGGATGGTGAAGTGAAGCGGGTAGAAAATCAAGCTACGCAACTGCATACTTAAGAATGCAACAAACTTGACTTGAATCAGAGAAGATCAATACTATTCAATACTATATAAATGAGGATATTATTTTACTAGTCGGTACTGAAAGTAACTATGTATGTATTTTCCTTCTTGGTGAAAGTATTAATGTGTCACTCCCGCTCCGACATACAATCATCGAGGTGACGTTATAAGTTAGTTACATATATGTATATATATCATAGTAGTGGTTAGTTGTGTCGTTCACTCATGAACAGGACATTAGTACTAGTAGGTTATATGTATGATTCAGGACCGGCGGCGCTGGTGGTTGTCCAGCACGCGCTTCCACAGATCCTCCATCTCGTTGCCGACCATGCGCTCGGTCTGCTTCTCCAGGGCGCGTCTGTCGAAGTCGCGCTTGGAGATGGCGGCGTTGGACTCTTCGCGGGACATTTCGACTATATACTTGTCAGTTGGCTTTTATTTGATGATTCATGGAAGGGATGGACCGAAGGAGGAAATAAAGAATGGAAGGTATGAAGATACAGGGAAACTCACCATGCACGTAAACACCGGCTCTCTTTCCGCTGAACATAGCATGGGGAACGTTCGTGGATCCATCACTGTTGCAGTCACCGACGGCGTAGACACCCGACAGACTGGTGCGCATGCCCGTGTAGTCTGTCGTGTCGATCTTGTTATCCACCATGACCAGGCTCAGCTCCTCGGGCAGAGTGGAGCGCTGAGCGGTGGGGTAGTTCGTGATGAAGGTGTTTCGTACAACGCTGGAGCCATCGGTGAAATGGACCCGGAAGATGTCGTACTGTCTGCCTGTGTCATCGCGGTGGTCGTCGCCGTCCTGGAGACGCTCAATGGATGCAATGGAGCGGTTGTCAATGCCAATGTTCCAGGCTTCGAGCTGCTCCTTCCAGTTCGGGTACTTGGCTGCCAGGGCGACTTCGTTGGCGGGCGTGTAGGTGCCGTTGGTGAAGGCGATGATGTCCGAGTACAGGGTGTGGGTTTCCATGACGCTGCCGACCACGTCTGTCAAACTGCCTAGGATACCTAGGGGCTCGTCGCGGTGCTCGTAGCCGTCGCACCAGGGACACCACCAGATGCCCTTGCCCCAGGCTTCACGGAGACCGGGCACATCGGGGATCTCGTCGACTAGTCCGGTACCCAGGACTACCTTGCGGGAGGTATATTCAGTGCCGTTGGCGTCGACGGCGCGGAAGTATGAGCTGTTGGCTGCGGCGTCCTCGATCGGGGTGATGGAGTCGATCTTGATGTCGATGACGCTGGTCGAGTTGTATTTGGAGATTTGTTGGCGGGCGAGACCACGGAATTGGGCAGGTGGAGTGCCTGTGGATGTTAGGTATTGCTTCATATGAATTGAGAGAGTTTATGTAGACGGGTAGAACTGACCATCAAAGCCAAGCACATCGTGCATCTCACGCGTAACACCATTGCGGTATTCGCCCGAGTCAAACATCACAGTCCTCCGTCTCATGCGCCCGAGACTGCTCAGGACACTGAGGCCTGCAGGACCTCCTCCCACGACAATGACATCGTAATCTGTCTGGGGGATGGACGACGCTAAAGCGACGCTGATGGTGGAGAAGAGAGAGTAGAAGAGGGACTTGGGAGCCATGGTGGTAGACTAGGTTACGGATCGGATCGTTCCCCGCGCACTGGAGAAGAGAGAAGGCCTGCTGCAGTCTGCCGAGAAGAAGATGCAGCAGTGGCAGCCATGAAGCTGCTCTTTATACCTCCACAACCGCATGTTTCGCAGGAAGAACAGTGCAGCACGCACATTGTCCCAATTTGCCCGAGGAGCAGGATTGATGGTGATTCAGCTGGGATGCAGCCAAGACTCGAGCTGGTGGAGCAGCTGAAGGCGATCGACACGATCGATTCCCTCCCAGGCCAGTTCGGGACCCGCCATGCCAAGGTAAAGAGAAGATTATTGAGAATATGGTTGGAAAGACCCTGATTGACCTGCCGAATGAGAGTCGATGACTGCGTGGCTTCAAATCCCGGATGGAGGCTGCCAAGACAGCGGAATTCGATCGGCAGGGCTGGGATTCAATAGTGTATGCAAGGTGATGAGGGGCCAGATGGGCGGGGCGTAATGAAGCTTGCTTGCTTGCTGGCTGGTGATGGTGCTGGACTCTGCACGAGGTAAATAAAGTCAAAGGTGTGGTGGCAGACAAGATGAAGAAAGTGGATGGACGAGGAGGGCAATGGGAGGGAAGAGGAAAAGGAAAGGAGAAGAAAATATGCCACGACAGACAATCAAAGTCACGCGGCCAAGAGTTGGCCTGCAGCTCATAAGTACCTCAAACCACCTCAGCAGAATATATTAATCATTAGATTGAATAGTAAGATAGATGTACCGAAAGGTATATACAGCTCCACTAGGATGATATCCCAGCAACCCTGTGGAACAACACATCCACGCCACCAGCTTCCTATCGCCACTTCTCTCCTCCCTCATATTAAATTCTCTCAAACACACTCACTCCTACAAGGGGTATCATCATAAAATCAATCATTTCTTCCAGCTAGAGTCGGACTCAGGACCCCACAAGTGCAGGGGGTAGCGGTATGGAGTTCCGAACACCCGCGAGGCAGTTTGCCCCAGAGCACTGCGGACGCCACTCAGAAAGCCCGAGTTGGCGTACGCCTGCGTGACATCCCACATCATCACGCCGCCAAAGCTCTTGAAGGTCTTGGTATACTGAATAATCGACTGCAGCTGCGAGACTGGCACATAGCCCGAGCCGGCTGCCCCGGTATTCGCCGGAACGCCGAGCATCACTCGCACATTCGGGTTCTGAGACACGTTCTTGGCCCAGTTGTCCCACTGATTAAAGTTGAAGGTCGACTGCGTGCTTTGGCCCTGAACAAAAGAGCCCAAGCCGCAGGGGTTGTTGTAGAACTGGACCCAGACGGCATCAATCGACACTGGTCCGTTGAGGATCTGCTGGTCTGCAAGATCCGGGTAAGGGCACTGCGGCGCTGCCGTCAGGAAGTACTGTTTCGAGGGCTCGGCATCGGAAAGTTGACGAAGTCGGTTCGCAAACGGTGCCATGTTGTTTACAGTGGCCTCAAAGTCGAAATCAAATCCGTCCACTGATGCGTTGCCAAAGGGCCGATGAGCCGTCGAGTTGGACTGCTGGGGGCCGAACGTCTGCCAGATCAGGTCGGCACCGGACTGGGCAGCAGATTGCGACTGGAATCCGCCTTCACTGTACGTCGCACCGCCAATTGACAGGATGATGGTCTTCCCCTTCTTCTGGCACGTGGTAATATCGGCACTGCATCATTATATTAGCTCTGCTGCCTCCAAGTACGACAATATGGCGCATACCCAATTTGGGGACAGTTTGGCAAGTTGGTGCCTTCGAACAACGTGCAGTTCTTACTGGTGAGCGAAAAGTCATATGCTGGTGCTCCTCCAGGTCCGTTCACGTTCATCACAAACGCAAGGACAATGACCTTGAGAATGGTTAGCATCCATTAGAGAACTTTCCTAATCGAAGCTTGATCTTACATCGATATTGCTGTCTAAAGTCCGGGTTAGCGCAGCTTCTTCCACCGTGAATGCGAAACACTTACCATCGCAGTAATAACCCAGGTTTTGCTGGGCCAGGCTCCCAGATCCTGCATAGGAATTTTGGCCTGGTCGTAGACATGTCAACTACTGTCAAATTCTGACATATGTCGTGATACTCACCCCAGTATACAACCACGTTGTTAGAAGAAGACAAGTCGAGCTTGGCGTATGCTCCTCCCAGAGAAGCCAGCCCCATCGAAAAGGCAAGAATATTTTTAAGGAGCGTCATTGTGTAAGGAGGGAATGGAGAGTTGGTCTCTTTATCAAGGAATGACTGAAATCTTTTCAAAGGAGTGTGCTGAAGGAACGATCTACTACCTCAACGATGGGGAGGGCGGATGACCAGTCGATGATGCCCAAGTTGCCGGTGCCGAACGGTTGTCGAATTCGAGTCGAGCTGCTATCACGAAGCCAGATTATGGCCGTTCATGTCGCGGCTTTTATGTCTTCTCCAGGCTAACTGTAAGCCTGTTGTGTTGTGTTGGAAAACAAGCTTGGACCAAGTTCTTGTCATCCGTTGTCTGGGGTCAAACATTCCAGATAGTAGTCTTTTCTCACGAAGCCGGCCAATAACTCAGGCCCCCAGATTGTCATATTCGAGTGGCGCTCCTAGACTGCAAGACAGAGCATGTTTTTCTCAAGTTCGTCGAAACTATGATTGGCAGGGAACCAACCGAGATACATTCCAGGATGGTTTGTTGTCAATGCCTTGGGCGGCCCGTGGAATGCCAGTCCCTTTTACGGACCCCAGCTTGTGATGAACCGACCCCAGGGCAAGCTTCTCTTCCCATGATCACTTACGCGGCCATGAGAATCGTAGCCTGCGTACCCAGTCAGGTGCACTAATGGTTCAATCATGGTTGGGATGAAGCCTGCTAGCCCGTTCATTGTAGCGCGGCGGCGCATCGATAATCGTTAGGATACCAGTCGAGCCCCATTTGACAGCTTGGCCGCGGGCATATATTAATAAACTTTATAGCTGCCATGAGAGTCTGCAAGGAGTAGGTGGAAAATCGAAGTATTGAGTGAGACATAATCGCCGTGGCTTCATCTCTCCGGGACCGACAACTGTAATCGGCAGTTGTACGTGTGTTGAGAGGCAGCCAACTACACCTGCCCCTTGGAATCTGAGACGTTCCATCTGACGCAGATGATGATTCCTAGAACCAAATACACCAACTGGATGACCATTGTCTCCTGATCATCGTGTCTCTGACTTTTGGTGCTCTCATGCCCAAAGGTGATCTGTTGACCATGGCCGTCAGATGCATGCATTATGAATGAATCGTCATTCAGATGCTATTCTTGGCTCCTGCCAGATATCCACTTATGACCCCAGGAATGTGGGAGTCGTCCTGGTGATGAAGGCATGTACTCCTCATCGGCCCGTTTTATCAGTTACTCACGGTACATGTTTTCGGTCAATCAGCCCAACAAAAGTTGGCCGAAGGCCAAATAATCCCGCATACTATGTTGTCTATCAATCGGCCCTGGTAATGATCGGACTATATGCCGCGGAGTGAAGCCCAGTGCACGAGGTACAAGGTTATCAGAGGGATGACGAGCATATTAGGATCGCCGGTCGAAAATGCCCTCGGTTTAATCATTCAAGAATTAATTGCTTGTCCAAGTTATCCAAGTGCTGCCAAAGCCAGTGATTTGAGAGATCATAATAAACATAACGAACACAAAGGTGCCCGGCTGTGTAGCATTGCACACAGATGCCTTAGGTTTGCCGCCGTCATGGTAGGGGCCTGGGTAATTCATGGCTTTCATTGATGGATGCCAATGACCCTTGCGACGGCCTCATCATTGGTCATGCTGTTGTCAATCACTCCTGCCACTTTGAGAACGTCCACCACACCCTCAACAAGCTTCCTCTGCACACCCCGAGTCGATTCTGTGAACTTGACATCCTTGAGCCATTCCTTAGCATCCTCCTCTCCGTAGTTACAGCCCAGCTCCCCGGTACCCAAGAGCTTCACGACCTGAGCAGTATCGGCTTCAAAGTCCTTGATGCCCTGATCCAGAAGCTTGAGCAGCTGTTGCAGTTTGCCATCCGCTTCCAGATCTGAGAAAGATGAAGTAGACGCCACGATCATCCAAGACGGCCAGGGAGTGTAGATCTCTCCGATCTTCTTCAAGGCAGGATGAGGCTTCTCTTCAGTGGGATGGAAATACGGCTTCGTGGTGAAGTGCTCCCACATGAAGAATTCGGCCGTGGGCTTCGGCTCCTGCTCGGGATGCTCCGAATCGTATCCGGTCACACCATTGCGGAGAGCAGCGAAGGGGCCCAGGGGCACAGTGGACAGCGAGTCAGGCTTCCAGCCTTGCTTCTGAGCGAGGACGAAAGACATGATGTGGGAGCCACTGCTTCGCGTCAGTATGATGCATGCCAATCTCATCCAGGGGTCGCCCTTACCTTCCGAGACGACTGACACCAACGCGCTTGTCCTTGAGATCAGCCACCGTGTGGATGTCTTCTCTCTCCCGACCCGTGACGATGGCCCAGCGCAAAGGCGTATCGACCCAGTGTCCGATCACCTTGTAGCCACCCTCCGAGGGGTCCTTCTGGGCCTGCTGTTTACCAGCCAGACCAGCTACCCATCCCTCGGTCAACCCAATGGCGACATCGATTTCCTTCTCACGTAGAGAAGTGATCATGTGTCCCGTTCCAGAGGGGAAGGGAATCAGAGAGAGCTTGAATGGGAGAGCAGCCAGGGCTGGGGAGCGCAGCGCCAGGTGGAGAGGCGTAAGATAGTGTTCTAGAAAGGAATGTCATTGTTAGCTGTCAGTCAATAGATAGAAGCTCGGCGAAGCGGAAGCTGTCCATGTTGCACAACTGAGGTTATTGTATATGGCAGTATAAGGTTGTTGAGGGAAGAAAGTTGGATCGTACCAGGCACATAGCCAATGCGGATGGTCTCTAGATCTGAAGCCATGGTGAATCTGGATGGAGCAACGGACACAAGGTAGTCGGTTGGAAGATAATAGGGAGGATCATTCTGCTGAACAGGCGGAGATGGAGTTGAACTAACGAGTAGTTGCTGGTGGGGTTCCTCCGGGTCCCTTGAAGTTACCCCGCGGCAATAGAAGTCTCCTCACGTCATTTTACTGCCCACCAATTGATTGATGATCATGCGAAAGACTGCATTAGATAGACGTGTTACTGATAATTATTGGTAGCAGGAGCTTCATTGAGTGTCTAATCACATCACATTATGCCTAATTGAATTGATAACAGGTCGGATGACCTCGGACGCCGAACCAAACTCAAGGTCCGATGTGTCTAATAGCTAGTATGCTTTATGTACAACGCCAACGGAAAGCAACGGAAACCCCACGGTCGTATCTAATCTCGTTCAAGTCATTCGGATGTCCTTCTCCTCCACATTAAAGCTCTCACTAGGTCCCCGAGGACTGCCCGCAGTCCGGAACGAGGCACCACTGTACATCCAAAACTGCACGCCCAAGTACAGATCGCAAACACACTGGAAGAGACCACACATCCGGAAGGCCCAGGGGATCACCTCCTGGCTGCAGAAGAAGTAACTCAGCTTCATGATATCACCGATAATCCAAGCTGCGAGCACCGAGAGCCGGAATCCTGCGCACGAACGGGACTTGTGGTTCTTGACGATCTGGGGAAGAGGCAGCGTGGCTTCCACGGCGAGTCCGACATATCCGAGAAGGCCGATGTAGGATTCCGAGTTGGCAAGCGGAGGCAGGAGGACTTGGATGAAGGTGAGCGCGCCGACGAAATACGCCAAGAACATCCAGTAACTATCGACGAGTCTGGTTAGTTTTCACCGCAATAGAATGGTCTCCTTGGAAGGAGAGAAAAGAATAGACGTACGGTTTCGCGCTCTTCCACTGCCAGAAATCGTAGGGTCTCGCAAATCCACCATTGTCCACACTGCTGAACGGAACATGTTCAACGCTGTTCTTCAGCCCGGGCGATGGCCGATTGTCCAATGCAACCTTCAACAAGACTACCTGCACCCCGACCGTGATGACGGCCTGGATCAAAAGCGAAAAAGAGTAGAGAGCGCCGAACCAGTAGAAGATCCTAGCAAAAGTTGTTAACGCCGAGACTCTCAAAGGACAGCAATTCCTAGATTGGCAGCCTTACTTCAGGACGGACGCGACGAGCATAATCAAAGGGATATCCAGCGAAAATCCAGCGGAGCTCCTAGACCGGTGAATACTGAGGATCTGGTCCGCATAGGAAGTCACTGGAGAGGTAATGAGGCTGTTGAACTCGAGCGGCCAGTTAGCGTTCCATTACGATGCGTCCGTGAGAACGAAAGACGTACAAGAGGGGAGCCCCATATTCCAGGGCTTGTGACACAAGATACATCGTGAACTCAATTACTCGTCGCTATCGTTGTAATAGGAGTATAGCGAATATAGGGTAATGTTACGATGGTTGAGGAGCGATTGCTCGGTCGGTTTTGTGTCGACGACGGGGCAGTGAACGGGCGGAGCTTGCGGTTTCCGGAGACTGCGACGGAGCAGCAGCGGCGTCAGGGGCAAAGCTTGTGGAGATGCTGAGTTCGGAATGAGAACGCAAGCTGTTGGCAAGGACGAGAGACCTCCACAAAGGTAGATTAGTAGAAGAGGGGAGGTATGATGCCGAAAGCCCAGGAACTCCGTGCCGACAAGTCCTGAAGAAAGTTCAATGCCAAAAGCGACCCGAATGCGGTCTCTTTTTTTTTCCGCCAGATTTGGGATCCATCAATTAAATTTATTGATCGGCGGCCACGTCCCTGGCGCTGACTCAGCCCCACTCCGGGAGTTGCCTTTCCTTTTTCCTCTTTGGGGTTGGGGTTCCATCCTTTCACTACACTGCTAGTTTATGGACTACTACTACGAAAAGTACTCAACTAGGGTGCAAGAACATCTGAAAGCGTCATAAATAAATACCATTGATGCCTGATATACGAACCTATTGCATATATGTATGGCTCCTCTGTCCACATCCCCGTCTAGTCTAAAACTCAATCCGCCATGTCTTGCCAATGCCGACGTCGGGGTTCTTCACCACCGCATATGCAGCCTTGCCATCAGACTGGCTGTGGTACTGCATAGGGGCCGTCGAAGCCGCCGAAGCTCCATCCTCAATGACAGTCACACTGGTCTTACCCTGCCATTCCTTCGGAGGATCAACCACCACCACTCGCTCAACACGAACGTTGGCCATGGTCTTCAGGTACTCGGCCGTCTTGGGACCTTTGGTGCCAACATCCTCCGAGACCAGAGCAGACTCCTGGAAGCGGAACCGACGGTGGATGTAGGCTCCACGCTCGTAGTCGAACGTCTCTCCGTCATCCACGTAAAGAGAGCCATCGGCTTGGCCGTTCTTATCCAAGACCACAACAAGAGTATACGGGTCCCATCTCATCAACGCGCTACTGCGGCGAGGACGGTCCTTGCGGGGGATAACATGGCCACCTTGCATCAGCAACGGCACAGTCTCCATGGGAGCTGGCACCGTATGCCTCTTTCCGGCTCCCTGGTAAACTGTGTAGTCAAAGTAGTCATAGTACTTTTCGTCGTCAGCTAGGTAGATGTCTGCTGTGGTGGCCTCCTCCGAGACAACGGGCTTAGCAAGAAGACCGGTGGAGCCGAGATAAAGCTGGTCATCGATGGCAAAGCCAGCCTCATCCGTGGGATGAGCATAGTACTGCGGCCGCACGATCGGCATTCCGTTCACGGAAGCTTCGTGGAAAGCGGTGTACCAGGCGGGGAGAAGCTGATATCTCAGGCGGATGGCCTGGGAGATGATAGACCGGTGTGGCTCGGCAATAAGATACGGCTCTCTCCGGCGAGTGTCAATATGCGCGTGGGCACGGAAGAAGGGGTACCAAATACCAGCTTGGTACCATCTGGTCAAAAGCTCCTTGCTAGGGTTGTGGAAGAAACCACCCACATCAGCACCGGCGAAGGGGAAGCCTGCAATACCGTTGTTCAGGACCATAGGGATGGAAGCGGCCAAGTGTTCCCAAGTAGCCTGGTTATCACCCGTCCACATAGCAGACATCCGTTGAGCACCCGCATAATACGACCGCGTCAGGATGAAAGGTCGGCGGACCTCGCCCTTCTTGCGCTCCAGAAGAGCATCGTAGGTGGCGTTGACAAGGGTGATTCCATGAACGTTGTGGATGTCACGGTGCTCCCAGTTGCCATGGTGAAGGTTATCCTTGGGCATCGTGGTTTCGGGACCGTTGAACACCGAGGGCTCGTTCATGTCGTTCCAAATGAAGACGTTGGACAGCGTTCCCTTGAACTTGTCAAACTTGAAGAGGCTGATCCACCATTTGATCGCGGCGGGGTTGAAGGTATCGATCCAGTGAGAAGAGCCGGGCCAACACCAACCGTCGTAGATCTCACCGTCCTTGTTCTTAGTGGCCAAGTCCTTGCTCGTCATTTCTTGGGAGATGCTGTACTTGTCCTGGTTCTTGATGTGCGGGTCAATGATAACGACGAGCTTGCGCTCCGACTCGTCAAGCTGCTCCTCCATGCTGATCGGATCAGGGAATGTCAGAGGATCCCAGGTGAAATACTTTCTGTCATCGGTATACTCGATGTCCAGCCAGATAACATCGTAGGGGATCTGGTACTTGTCAAAGTTGCGATCGACCTCCTTGACATCCTCATCAGTGATGTAGTTCCAGCGGCACTGGTGATAGGCAATGGCAAAATGTTGAGGCAGCTGAGTGTAGCCGGTGAGTTCACCGTAAGTCTTGCTGAGTTCCTGGGGGGTAGGACCAAGGAACACGAACACGTCGAGCTGACCAGACTCCGAAAACCAATGACTTTGGGTATCAGTGGTGGCGCCTACGCCGAGAGCAAGAGGGTTGGGAGATGAGGTAGACTTGACAATATCCACCCAGGTCTCTGCAGCATTCAGCCAGAAGACACCGACGGTAGAGTCCTTGCGATGCGCCTGCATGAACGGGATCGCACCATACAAGGTCATGGGACTGTTCAGCTCGTACTCGAACACATCCGCATTGTACATGCGGTAGGGCTCTTCGTGATTCCCTTCACCACCTCTGGGACGATGTTAGTTTTGCGAGCTCGAAATTGTCACTGCGCGAGTAGCTTACCGAGTTTCCTTCAAGGAGAGAGAGTCAGCATGTTCAGGAATACCGAAAACATGCTTGTAGCCGGGGAAGGTGATGTCCAATCCCACACTCTCGGGGCCTCTGGGCTTGGTGTCGGTGTTGCCACCAAAGATCTCGTCCCACCAAGTGCTTTCATCTTCCTGGGTTTGCTGCTCGCCCTCACCTTCGACCTCTACCTTCGGGCGCCAATGCTCCATGTTCAAGTAGCCCTTGTTGTTCAATTGAACGTGGGTCTGGCCGTCCCTCTTGAAGTCGGCGCTAAAAGGGGCGTGGCGGATGACAGCCTCGAACTGGTTATCCGGACCGTACAAGACTCTGGTGAAGCCAGTCTCGGTTTCAGGTTTCAAGGTCGCGGTTTTGCTCAAATCCAAGCCACCGACCAACACCCACTTCTCTGCCTCATTGTAGCGTTCCTTGCGTGCTTTGCTATCGTGTCGAAGCTGGATTTCGCCGTTCAATCGCTTCTCCTCATCGACAACAACTCGGGCGGCGCCGGACTCGAGGAAGGAGACAACAAGAGGCAGCTTGACTTTTTCGTTGGCGGAGACGGATTTGAGAATGGTTCCGTGCAATTGGCCATCTTTGAATTGAATAGAGGATGAGTCGAGCTCGTAGGGGGAAGTCCAGGATGGACCTTGGGCGGAAGCATCGTCGGCGAATGCCCTGTTCCGCTTACAGAAGCCTGATTGAGAACATGTCTTGAAGTTCTCGTGTTTCACGGTGACTATGCGGCATTGTTAGATGTCAAGGCGAGTCTAACCGATGGGTGTATGATTGGATAGGCTTACCTCCGGGGATGACAAGGCATCCGAGTAGGATCACCAAGGACAGCAGTAGGGTCCAACGGTTGGACATTGGCCGAGTTCCGGCCATGATAGGAGAGCTCAGTAGTCAATCAGAGACACTCAACCTCTGAAAGAAGAACTATCAGCAACCACTAGTGTGTCGACCTGCATCTACCAGAGGTGAAGGTCCCACACACAAAGCCGTTATGTGCTGGGATAGAAGAAGGAAAATGCAACTAGATACGATAATATAATGCAAGTAGTACAACAAGGGCACTCGATAGTTCCAGGCTGGCCAGATGGAGCTGAGATGGGGGGAAGCTCCCAGTTAGGATTAGTGTGGGCGCTAGTCTCATTTTGGCGGGCTGGGGATTAGACTTGTTCTGGCCTCAGGCAGGCAGTACTTTTCAAGTCATGGATCAGGCAGTTAGGCATGCAGGCATGCAGGCACCGACGGGAATCAGTCAACCAGCCCGTAAGTTGTCTCAGAGAGTGAGTGAGTATTGCCCCTCCTTTTGGCTGCCCCACACTGGCTTTTGCGGTCCCTCCCTATATTTTTCGCCAACTCACCACCGGCTCTGCTTCTTCTCTTTCTTCTTCTTGTTCCCTCAATCGTATCTCAGTGACTTCATTGTTATACTCTCACATCCCATCAAAATGTCTTCCGAGCAGACGTAAGTTAATTCCACTTTCTATTACTTTCCTCCTTTTACCCCTCTTCCCCTCCATTGCTCTTTTCTCTGTCTCTCTCTTTCTCTCGGGGGGTCCTTAGGGACCTTGCTCCCTAGATCCTCATCAACCCCTCATTGCAATCATGACACTAACCAATTGATCTAGCTTCATTGCCATCAAGCCCGACGGTGTCCAGGTATGACTGATTCACGCCTCGAATCATCGCTTTTCGATGCATCTGCGGCATCTCCGGAATAAACCAGTACTGACCCTACTACCAGCGCGGACTCGTTGGCCCCATCATCTCTCGCTTCGAGAACCGTGGGTTCGTATTACCTTATAAAATGACATTGCAAGAGCATAGATACTGACGTTGTCCCAGCTTCAAGCTCGTTGCTCTGAAGCTCTGCTCTCCCGGCCGTGAGCACCTCGAGAAGCACTACGCTGACCTCAAGGAGAAGCCCTTCTTCCCCGGTCTCGTCTCCTGTATGTAACTCCCACATGTTGCCCATTGACACATGACAGCATACTAATCTTGCTTCTAGACATGCTCTCTGGCCCCATCTGCGCCATGGTCTGGGAGGGCCGTGACGCTGTCAAGACCGGCCGCACCATCCTCGGTGCCACCAACCCCCTTGCCTCCGCCCCCGGCACCATCCGTGGTGACTACGCCATCGTAAGGACTCTGATCCCCTCATGGTCGAGACATCTTACTGACAGTTGAATAGGACGTCGGCCGCAACGTCTGCCACGGTTCCGACTCCGTCGAGAACGCCCAGAAGGAGATCTCCCTCTGGTTCTCCCCCAGCGAGCTCCAGCAGTGGAAGCACTCCCAGTTCGACTGGATCTACGAGAAGGCCTAAATTATTCCGGCCAGTCCTGCGCCTGAGCGCCTGCATCCCGCTACGAGTTGAGATGTAGAGTACCTCGGGTGATATAAAACTCCAAGATCTCATGAGAACTAGAAATACAAATATAAAATACATTCATGATATATATACCACGCTAGTAGTACTCCGTACAAAGCTTAAACCCGTCTAACACTATATCATACATACTACATACAGGGTGCCTGATCCGACAATCATTTCTTCCCAAACAGCCCTCTAGCACCCCTTCCCAATGGCGAAAGCACGGCTCTAGAAAACCACGGGGTAGCCCAAACACTCACCACGATGCGGGCCGGCATTAAGGCCTTGGTAATGAGATAAGCTGTTGCAAACTCCAAGATCAACCTCACTCCCTCCCGTTCCCCTTGGACTGACAGCGCTGACCGTTCCGCCTCGCCATGGTGGTGTGCACCGTCCCCTCCATACTCCTCAGCTACAGTATCCACATCCACCTCCTCCACCCAGCCTTTCTTCCGCAGCCAACGTCCGAACTTCTGCGTCTGCTCCTCGAACAATTGATTGGAGGACATATCCGGGAGCAATCCATTGTTATAATGAAAGGCAGCCACCAATCCAAATAGACTGATCACAGCGGTGATCTCGTGCAGGATGAGGAAGGATGTAATGTGCGTTGCGGGAGCTCCGAGAAGAGGTGTGGTGTAGGGACGGACCGAGGCTGGAAGACGATCATTTAATCTGTGTAGACGCGACCGGACATCTTTTGCGGAAGGGGGTGGGCGAGGAGGAGGAGGAGGAGGAGTTGAGAAGAGACGGTGGGCGGAGGGTTTGCGCGGTGAGATGAGACGATAAGTTTGGAGGATAGAGCGCGGTGGTGGCATATTGACTAAATAAAGTTGGGGAGTGAAGCTGTCGGGCCCTATGCAGGGGGGGTGGAAGCGATTCCCGGTCAGGTACCACCGAGAAAGTCAGGGAGAGATATTGGTATTGTATTTTCGCAATTGTAATCCAATCAACTGGGTTGTTGTGAAGCCGATATCGCGAGGCCATCGGAGATAATGATGAGTTGATGTTTGCTGTGTTTGCAAAGAGGAGAGATAAATTATACGCAAGAACAAGGGGGGACTGTTGACCGAATTTATGACCAGGATTTACATGCAATTGTTCGTCCAGGACATACAATTACCCATTCCTTGGAGGCCTATCGTTCTTACAAGCCTGGGGAGTCATCGAGCAGGCCGATGGGATAATGTCAGTCATGGACAAGAACTACCCGAGCATTTGAGACGCGAACGATACAGTGCAAATGGAGAGAGGAACCGGGCCATACTGAGCACCAAATATTCACTCTCCGATCGGCGACATGATTGTCCAGACCTTTAGTAGCAGGACGTTCCACCGATCGGCCGGGATGATAATAATTGGGTCCAGTTCATGACAAGAAATGATGCTGGCAGCGATGGGGTCGGCAGTTCGTCATGGTTGCCTTTTCCGGAGGCTCCATCGGAGGGAGGAAGTCTTGTTCTTCCCCACCTCCGTCCTTCACGCCTTCCTCTTTCTTCGCCTTCCACTCCCTCTCCTCCGTCCGCCATCGTGTCGCTGTTTCGGCTGCTGAGACTGCGCTCATCATGGAGAAGATCACGGACAAGATCGCGGCTTTGCCGCCAGACGCCAATTACTTTTCTCTGGAGTTCTTCCCTCCCAAGACAAAGATGGTGGGGCAACCCTCCTACAACTCCCCGCACTGGAGTGACTCAAATCTAGCATTATTATATATCGGTCGCTAACAAGATGCTTGCCGTCTATCTAGGGTTTCGCCAATCTACAAGCCCGGTTGGAGCGTATGGCCCAGGCTTTGCGCCCGCTGTTCGTGACGGTCACTTGGGGCGCTGGAGGAAGCACCGCCGCGAGATCGCTGGAGCTGGCGGAGATCTGTCAGCGCCAACTGCAGTTGACGACATGTCTACACCTTACCTGTACGAATATGAGTCGCGCCTTGGTCGACGAAGCCCTGGAGGAAGCCAAGGTGCTTGGAATCAGAAACATCCTGGCCTTGCGTGGTGACCCGCCCCGGAGCGAAGAATACAACATGCACGGCGAGGATGACAGCAACAAGGACTTTACATTTGCCGTCGACTTGGTGCGCTACATTCGCAAGCAGTATGGCGACTATTTCTGCATTGGTGTGGCGGCGTACCCCGAGGGTCACCCCGCCGATAACTTCCAGGATGTTCAGGATCCGGCCAGGGACCTGCCCTACTTGATCGAGAAGACGCAGGCCGGTGCGGACTTCATCATGACTCAGTTGACCTACGACCTGGAGGCATACACCAAGTTTGAGACGATGCTACGGAACCATGAATCTGGCGTCTTCAAGACCATCCCCATCGTCCCCGGTCTGATGCCCATCCACAGTTACAAGATTTTGACGAGAGTCACCAAGCTCAGTCATGTCAAGATCCCCCCGCAAGTGCTGTCCAAGCTGGAGGAGGTGAAGCATGATGACGATGCCGTGAAGCGCATTGGTGTCGACATCATCACTGATCTTGTGTATGGCATCCGCGATTTGGTCTCTCCTGGTCTCCGCGGATTCCACTTCTACACTCTGAACCTGGAGAAGACGGTGTCTTTCATTCTCGAGCGCTGCGAACTCATTCCCCCCTACACAGAGATCGATGACTCCGATGCCTTGGTCGATGGAGGTAACTTGTCTGCTATGGATTCGTCGTCGTACATCGCCCCGAACGGTGCTCCCATCCGCACACTGGCCAGCCGCCGCTCATCCGTCAGCTCCATCCCTCACAACCGTGTCATCGTCGACAAGGTACAGATCTCCGAACCCTCTTCGAAAGACTCCATAACACATGAAGCCTCCGCCTTGAGCGCCGGCCTTCCCGCCATGCCGCCCGACCGCAGCACAACCCTCCAGATCTCCGAAGGTCTCGGTGCCCTCGGCAGAGAAGCCACATGGGATGACTTCCCCAACGGACGTTGGGGTGATGCACGTTCGCCCGCTTTCGGTGAGATCGACGGTTACGGTCCCTCGCTGCACGTCTCCGCTGCCACTGCCCGGCGCATCTGGGGCTACCCGGTTACCCGCGAAGACATTAGCACCCTATTCCGCCGCCACGTCTCCGGCGAGCTCCACATGGTCCCCTGGTCCGAAGGAGGCGCCGAAGAGGACAGCAATGGCCTTAACGCCGAGACAGCCGTGATCCAACCCGAGCTTTTAACTCTGATCGACAAGAAGGGCTGGTGGACTCTGGCCTCGCAACCCGCCCTTAACGGCGTCCGCAGCGACGACCCTGTCTTCGGCTGGGGTCCACCGGGAGAGGGATTTGTCTTCCAGAAGCCCTTCGTGGAATTCTTCTGCCCCAGCAAAGACTACCTCAATGTCCTCAAGCCCCTCCTCCAGAAACACGGCCACGAGAAGCTCGCCTGGTTCGCCACCAACGTCAAGGGTGACTTCGAATCCTCCCTCCCCGGCCCCAACCCCGACGACCCGGACCCGATCGACATCAACCCAGCCAACGTCAACGCCGTCACCTGGGGTGTCTTCCGCGGCAAGGAGATCGTCACCCCCACCATCATCGAGGAAGTCAGTTTCCGCGCCTGGGGAGACGAAGCCTATCGCATCTGGGATGAATGGCGTCGCATCTACCCCAAGAACTCGGCGACGGAGCGCTTCCTGGACGAGACCAAGAACGATGTCTGGCTTGTCTGTGTCGTGGGTCAAGAGTTCGGCGCCGGCACAGAAGCTGGCTCGGAGGAAGAGGAAGATGAGAAGAAGTGGATGTGGCGCGAGTTGGCGAATTCCCAGTGATTTATCTGATATGATGGATGTATTAACCTAAACTATGGACTACTTCTGGCCGCTGGCTTGGTCTGGGTGGTGCGTGGTGCGTGTGGTGATGATGGCTTTGGTTCATTTGGATTTCCACAGTAAGTAAAGCACAGTACTACTACTATACAAATGGGGAGGGGTCTGTTTTCATTTGATAATTGAATCTTGTCTTATTTTCAACAAATCTAATTCGATTATGGAAGAGGGAATGAAGAGGGGACGTGTGTATGTATGTATGTATATGCATCATATCATGAGTTGAAATGAAAAATAGAATCTGCAATTTCAATCATACCTTTCAACCAAATATTACAAATCCAGTAATCTTTGGAATAAACTCTTCGTTTACTATATATAATCATCCATCCACGAATCCACGCTATGCTATGTCATAACTATCTATCTGCAAATGCATCCATGCATTTAGACATCTATGAATGAATCAATTACGACACCTCCTTCATCCCGAATCCATGCTCCTCGAGTCCCTCGGCGCCTGTATCCGGCGTCGCGAGAGAAGACTGCGACTCGGCGAACTTTTCCACTGCGTCGTCGAGCTTACCGTATGCGCGGGCATTTCGGCGCGGTTGATTGGGGCCGGAGGCGGGGAGTTGGTAGCCGCGGAGACTATAATTTATCAGTCTATTGTTAGTTGTTGTGGGTGTGGTTATGAGGGATTGAGGGGTAGATAGGGTGTGGTGTAAAACATACCGTGGACCTTGGCCGGTAGGTTTGGGTAATTCCGAGACGTAGGTCCGTTGGAAGGTCTGGATGTCGGCTTCGAAGGTACCCCGGGAGATGCTTTCGCGGATGGCGGCGAAGAAGGTATCCAGTACGTGGTGGTTGTGGATTTGGAGGAGGGTCCAGGCGAGCATTTCCTTGGCGGTTAGGAGGTGGTGGATGTAGGCGCGGTGGTGGTTGCGGCAGGTGTAGCATTCGCAGGATTTGGAGAGTGCGGAGGTGTCGATTGTGTGGGATGGGGACCAGAGGTCGAAGGCGAGGTCATGGGGTTGGGTGATGGTCGTGGGGGTGTTGGGTGATGGGAAGGTGAAGTCCAGGGCGATGCCGGCATCAGAGCAGACGCCCATGAAGGGGATGGTGAGGAGATCTGCTCCGAGGGAAACGTCGCGGAGGATGTCGTGTGGAGTTGCCGGTGCGCTGTAGAGGAGGCGGGGGAGGTCTCCGAGTGGTTCGGAGATGGCTGATAGGGAAGCAGATTCGTAGAGGGCGAGGCCGGAGATGTAGGGTCGGAGCTCGGTCTCGAGGTCGTCCATGTAGATTGACTGCTGGGCGTTTTCGAGAGGGAGGACGGGAGCGAAGTAGGCTGACTTTGACCGGGTGTTCTCTGGCACTGTGCTGCCGTAGAGTAGTCCTGTGGCATGTGTAGTGAAGGCGTGGGTGCGATCCACCATCTTGCCGCGTCTCTTGTTGCCAGGGGTGTGTCCCAGCACGAGATCTGCCAGTCCGATGACGATGTCCGGGTTGAGCTTCTGCACGGCGTCGACGTACTGGGTAGCTTCGAGCTGTCTGAACCCGACAGAGGTGTAGATAGCGACGGAGTTGGGGGTATTGGCCGGAGGGCATTTGATCGGGGGCTCCCGACGGGCGCCCATGATCAAGAGGAGATCATCGGGGAGAGCGACGAATTTGCGCAAGGCCGATTCATCGTGTGCGGTGGGAATGGTATAGACCGGAGGCGGATGTTTTTGGCTTTGTCTTTCTACGACTGATCTGGGCCCCGATGGGCATTCGTGTCAGCGCGGATTCGACCTCCGAACAAGAGGAGAAGGGCATACAATCTTCGAGACCGACATATAGACTGCCGATGTCTGTGTGATCACGCAGCACATCATGGGCAATATGCGGAACGACGCCTCGGGAGGCCAGAGGGATGTAGTGTGGGGTGGAGATAGGTTTTCTGCCGGCAAAGGCCAGTCTTCCCAGTCGGGGAGTCAGGACGGAGGCCGTAGCATTGAAGGTGAGCATCTCATTCGATGGTGGTGGGGAAGACTCTGAGCCCATGGCGACCCTGAGGAGTGGAGGTTTGACGAAGGGATGGGGATGGTGGAGAGAGGAGAGAGAGAATCCGGCCGTTGTTGGAGAAGATGAGCGCGGCGCGTGCCGATGAAAATGTGCTTCCCCACTAGTAGTTGGTATCGATATAGATGGTGGGTTCGATAGTATTGGATGTATTCCCCGATTTCTGGCTAGGACTATCTCGAAATTTTCAAAACGGTCGATGAATAAATGTGTCTAGTATTGAATGTATTGTAAATGAGAAATATTGCTGTTCTGGATTACATTACAGACAGAAGATGTATCGCCAATTGACAATCCCAGAATGGAGCAGATAGAGTCACGATGGACGCCATTCCCAAACGGGCAAGATCCCCTCCAGCTCGTCGCGACCCGCGCGTCAAGCCACTTTCATCTCTCTTTCATGGCACACCTCTGCTCCTCTTTCTTATCTGTGGTGAGTTACGGATAAAAATTGAGTTTCCCTGAGGCTCTTCATTATCATATTCACTCTGTGAAACTCTCCGGTTGTCAATTGACCCCCCTGCACACTGCACAACATGGCTGCACAAGCTCCTCCCGCGCGACGCGGGGCTCTCATTGTGGTTGAGGGGCTGGACCGCGCGGGCAAGTCCAGTCAGTGCGAATCTCTACACCAGAAACTACAAGAACTAGGCCATTCGGTCAAGTACATTCGCTTCCCAGGTAGCTCCCCTTCCTGTTTTAGTTGTCCTCGTGAGCAACGCTCTAATCCACACTTCTGCAGACCGGACCACTCCCATTGGAAAGCTCATCGATAGCTATCTACGTGGCCAGTCACAGTTGGACGACCATTCCATCCATCTCCTCTTCTCTGCCAATCGCTGGGAAATTGCTCAGGCTATTGAGGAGGATATAGCAGCGGGCATCACTGTCATTGTGGACCGCTACTCCTATTCAGGTGCCGTGTACTCGGCCGCCAAGGCCAATCCCACCTTGTCCCTGGAGTGGGCTTGGACCCCGGAGATCGGGCTGCCCCAGCCTGACCTGTGCGTTTTCCTGAGTATCGCTCCGGACGAAGCGGCCAAGCGCGGTGGCTTCGGTGCCGAACGCTATGAGAATGAGACTATGCAAACCCGGGTGCGGGAACTGTTCCAAACCATCTTCCGTGTCCAACGCAGCGGTGACATTCGCGTGATCGATGCTGGCAAGTCATTTGAAGCTGTTTCGGTGGACATCGAGAAAAGCGTGGTGGACTGCATAGCTCGCTTGGACGCCATTGGGCCATTGAAGCGATTCGTGTCAATTGCAGCTTAACTTCCTCCCAAGGAGGAATAGCGAGAAACACTGCGAAGCAAATATGAGATTCATCCCAGCTCCTCCATCTCTTCGCAGTCACTGTCGTCTATGATGATCTCCACCCTAGACGACTCCATCTTATGGTCCTTTGGGCGGTCCATGAGTTCATCGAAATTCGGATCCAGATCTAACGACTCCGTCCAATTTTCATCCAAACTAGCGTCGTCATGATGGTCCACATCAAGACCGTCGCTGACGCCAACTGACGCACTCTCGACGCATGCGGCTCGGCTGCCTGGGTTTTCGAACGCGCTGGCTACCTTATCAACGGCGCTTGTTTCATGGATAGGATCAGGCGCCTTTGCACGGCCTCGTTTTGCCTTTCGCAAAATGGCACGTGACTCACTTGGTCCTCGAGTTCTGAGGCTCAGTTCCTGCATCATTGTCGACCATTGGATGACCTGATTACATAGAGGACAATTTCCATCAATCGGAACGAGCTGCTCTGGCTCCTCGGCGTGCTCCAGAAATCTGGCTGACAGACATAATAGATGGCTGATGCAGTAGCAGCTTGCCCGGGGGCAAACTACAGCTAGCTCTTCACTGGGAACAACCTTTTCATGGCATACTTTGCAACACAAATCTCTGGGATCATCCAGCAAGAAATGGGACTTCTCCACGTAGTCATAGATATGACTGTAGTCGACCTTGATATGTTCAACACTTCGGACTCTCGGCTCGTCGGTCCATGACAGATGGTCCTCAGGACAGTCCCCATCCAGGATGGTCCGGACATGATCGGGAAGCAAGGCATCAACGCGGTCGCACCATGTCATCCACAGCTGGTAGACGTCTCTGTTGAAGAATCGTAATCTTAGCGGCCATTTCGAAAAATAGGTCGAACGTAAGAAAAGATGCAAATCTTCTAAATGGGCCTTCAAGGATCTCCGGGAACCACGACCTCGATGCTTAGCCTTGCCGGTTTCGGTACTGGGCTGAACCCCTGAAGTGCCTGTCGCTTCGCCAGTTTCTAAGTCGATCTGGTGGCGATTCGCCGGGTGCTGCGAAGACATCTTTGGGTTCTGCCACGCCCACCTACAATGCTATTAGATCTGCAGTGTAACAAGAGTGCGATGGTGTGTTCATAGCTGCTTACTCGAATTGCAACGCAGCCACGCGACTCGTAAAGCCCTCGACGAGCAAGACCATTTCCCACGGTCTTTTATCATCGTTGGCTGTTTTGCGAGCACCGCCTTTGGAATCTCCATTGTGCTGCGCAAGTCTCCTGGCAGGATGCGGAGTAGAGCCAATATACAGGGAAGTGCGCTGTTTGGTTGAACGCAGCAGATAACAGCAGTAGTAGGCCGGGATTGGTTTAGTATGATCAACCTCTGCATCGTCCATTGCAGCAGATAAACAAGGCTCGTTCACTAGTTATCGAGATGATCGAGTTCGATACAGTATGGGCTAGTGACGCATACCATCTGAATCAAGTAGATATTGATGAAAAGAGGCGTTTCAGCAGGAACTGCGCGTATGGAAATGCTTGCGATCTAGATCAGTTTGGCGTTCAAGATCTACGCGGATTTGGTCGATCGATCAGCTGTTGCTCCAGCAGGAATACCCCTAGTCACATGACATTCCAGAATACTGAGCGCTGCTCGGGACTCGACTTTCTCAATGCGCGGTAGCATCTACGGAGTATGTATGTAACTCTTTTCTTTTGCTTGTTGCGCCCGATGACCTGCAGCGGATTTTTGAGCCATGTGCTTGCTCTTCATGGCTACTGTTGTCAATCTGTCAACACCATCTTGCTCGCCTGTTGATGCAGTGATAAAGCTCGATCTACTTAGTCTGGACAGCGGTCGAGTGAGGCTCAACCACTCATGGCAATGATGACCGGCAATGAAGGGGTTGCCATGTCCCCATCAACAACCCCATTTGGAAATTGCATGACACTTGCCAGGGATCAGTACGGAGCAAAGCGGACAAAGGAGACGACGCGGAAAAGGAACAAAAGAGGGCCAAGAAAAAAAGAAAACCTAGCGGATCTAGAATCTCTACAGATGGGATCATCGAACGTCTAATTAGCCGGGTGCAAAGTACTGTGGCACTACAGCCTGACATAAGTACTGCAGACGACGCTGCAGCTAATTGACAATCGTGCTTGACATCTGCTCGGCAATATGAGCCACAACAATATGAATTGCATACTCGGGGTGACGACGAGGAAGCACAAGGGATAGCCATCGATAGCCTCGGGGAGAGAGGGGTGTTCCTCCCCATCCCACCCAGCCCAGACAGACAGACTATCCCATTTTCACCCGCATTCCTGCGGACCGTACAGACTGGGTCCCCGAAGTCCGGAAAAGCTCGACCCGTAAGCTGGTGGGCGCATGTGATCTGAACTGGGCATGATCGGGGCTAGGGAAGTGAGCATTGCATGATTTCCCTAGACTAGGCTAGTGAGGACGACGGTAGCCATTATTCCCTAGCCAGATGCTATTACCAGCCCAAGGGATAATTGTAGGGAGACGGCCTGCCCGGTGGAGTTTCCCATGGATTGGTATTATGGTACACTACAATATTATTCTCATTGTATTTGGTCTGTGTGCCCTTATACCCCTCTGATTTGAGATATTTTGTGGTCGGTTCCGGACCATGGTTGACGTGTCACACTCAGGAATGCGTATCATACCTGCCTCCCTCCTTCAGAACCCTCCCAACATCCCATGCGGAGATCAGAGACTCGGCTACTCCGTAGAGTCTCAGCGATTTCTCCGGATGCTCTTATTGCCATCTGCCCATCCTGATAGACTTTTGCTAATGCCAATGTAAATGGGACGGGGTCGTTTGTTGTGGGCAAGATATGCCACGACGTGAGGATAAAGCCTGATATGGTTGAGCTAAGCAACCCGGCCGACTCCGTTCGTTCAATTTCCCCTGTAAGATCAAGGATGATGTGGTCATGAATTTACCGCCCCATACCCATAACCATACCCATACCTATCTATACTTTCTTCTCTGTCTTACCCTTGGGGTTTTCCCATCCGAAGGGACTTTTCTTGGACCTTCAAACCCCGATGGCGTGCGTAATTAAATAATCTTACTTAATAGTATTATCGTGTTTCTTTTTCTCTCTGATTGAATATGCCATGCAATGTTTCCTTTTTTTTGTCCAGCCCTTTTTATTTTCTTTTTCTTTGTTGTTTCTAATCGAAACTTCCATCTCCTGCAGTAGAACAGGACGGTGGAGCTGAGCTTCACTTTCTGTAAGTAGGAGCTTTATACAGACTAAGTAGTCAATAGCGAAAATCAAACACAAACGTGCCATTAGGAATAAGCAGTATTATATTACTTTTTGACTTTCCTCTCTGGAATATAACCATAAGCTGTTTATATAGAGTATTACCAGTAAAATGTATAGTACAAAGGTAGAAGTAATAATAAGGTAGGTGCTAGCTAGGAAAGGTTGTGTTAATCCAAGAGAGAAAAGATGGGTATTGAGTTTGGGGATATTGGAAAAGTGGAAAGGCAGGAAAGTTTCCCTTCTTCCGAGGTCGTCGAAAGTCGTTACATCACCGTTTGCGGGCAAGAAGTGGATGGAATGAAGTCCAGCTGGTATCTTTCCCGTTTCCATACAACTATACGGGTAACAGAGCCTATCCTATTTGGGAATGTCTGATTACCGCTTTTGTTGTATTCGCTACCCTGTCTTTGCTGCCTGAGGCTAGAATATCCAGATGCAAATCATGGATCGAGAGGACGATTTCCATTTCTCGCTGTCTCTCTCTTGACGGATGGACTTGGCTTGACTTGCTGCTTCTGACTTTCTTACTGTGAAGTACGTTTTCTTTTTTTCTTCACCCATTTGCTTTTTCTCCCCTTCCATTCGTCTCGATTTATCCTTTTTTTATTTTCCCTCTCCTATTTTTCCCTTTTTTTCTGCACACCCTTCTTTCCCCTTAGCATATTTTCTCGATCTTCTGTTCCATCCATTCCTTCTTTTTTTTTTTGACTCCAGACGAATTCGGCATCTGATTGTTTTTCTTCAGTTGCCGAACCACTTGGGGTTGGTGGTCCTCTTTTCTCCAGTTCAGGTCTGACGGGACGGGGGAAAGTTGTGGATAGGAACAACAACTTCCTATCTATCTACTTACTTACATCTCGATAACCAGACTAGACTGACTTACTATCTAGACGATCATTTTCATCCATGATTGTCTTTTTAGTCAGCTAAAAAGCCCAATCTGTGCCCCATCAACTACTAACTAAATTACTACTACTACTACTACTACTACTACTACTACTACTACCTGGTTTGGCCCAAGTGGCTTTCCCTGCGAACTACCTTACTAGCTAGGACTACTTCCGGCTACGGTCAATTCCTCCAATCGTCACGACTGCTAAATCTCAACCCCCATTTTCTAAACTAAACCTCCTACTTCCCCTACTACTACTTTCCCTACCCTACGGAAAACACCCCTGCTACGGGATCCTATTCCTCCCCCCGATCCCCCTTCTCTTTCTCATCCCTCTCTTCTTCCTTCCCTCCCACTCTCTCTGTCTGCTGACCGGCTTTTTCTTTACCTGGGGTGAGCACGTTACTCTTCCAATCCTTGTTCCTGTTCCGAGATTCTCCACACTAGCCCTCCCGGGTTCATCTCGGCCTGCCCTTTGACAGTCCATCTGCTGGCTGGCTGCCCTTTTGCTACTCTATCATCATCAATTTCACCTCCCTCGCTATCTCCCCATCTCCTTCCCCTCCCCATCCATCCCTCAGCCCTACTTTCTTCTTCCTTCATCCAATCTCACCAGGTGTTCTATCCTCGGTTCTCGACACTAAACTCCATCTCTCTCAGTTGATCTGGCCCTCCTCCATGTGTTTTTCGCATCGGATGCTGGCCCCCTTCCGTCCGCGGTAAACCACGCGCAAATTCTCTCTCGCCTCGATACCATTGTCGCCCCTCAGAAATGGTGGCTCCGGCCTCTGCTGGAGGCGCCTCTACAGGCCTGCA